AAACAAATAAAGATAAGGGCTGTAAAACCCATAACTCAAAAGAACGGCAAATAAATGCCTCTGAAAACAAATCAAGCCTGAAATTTCACTAGAGCCCAAATTGAGTAAACAGAGGCTCTCATACTTTGGGCACATCCTGAGATGGCATGACTCACTGGAAAATATTACAATGTTCAGCAAAATGAAAAGCAGTAGGAAATGAGAAAACCACATAGTAGATGGATTGATTCAATAAAGAAAGCCCTGGCCCGACTTTTGCAAGATCTGAATAGGGTCATTGGTAGCTGAGGCTCTTGGAAATCTCTCATTGGCTAAATATGAGTTAAAGGTCGCTTCCACACAGCCATATAACCCAGAATGTCAAAGTTGATAATCCATTATATCTATAACCCAGAATATCAAGGGAGATAATCCATTATATCTACTTTGAACTGGATTATATGTGTCCACACTGTCATATATTCCAGTTCAATGTGGATTTTATACAGCTCTGTGGAAGGGGCCAAAGCTTGATGTAATAGCAAGTGACAACAAATGTTATTTTGATAGTATCTTGGTGCTGGTGGAAGAAAGGTGAATCCTTCCTTACTGGCCTCCAAAACCCACATTTTAAAAACATCTCTAATTGCACCCCTTCCACAAGGGGTAAAAAGACACACATTAGCAGAACAGAGATAGATGGTAAAATGTCATGTAGGAAAAGATTAAACACCTTATTCCCAAAATGTTCCTGTGAGTATCCAATTTGCCCCTTTCCCCAGGTTACAGTTGCTGTTAACTAACAATGTGGAAAATGTAGACTCTTGTTTGATACGCTATTGTCCCCAATTTGTTTCTTCCCTTCTTGGATGAAAATCATAACCTCTAAAGCAAATAATATAGCAGTAAAATCTATACATCTTTTTAAAAAATCCATAGAAAATTAGTATATTTAGGAAGAACATTTTCTTCTCAGATTCTACTTTTCTTCTTATATGTATTTGGTTGTTTTTTTTACATGGGGAAATATTCATAAATCCAAAATCCTATTCTTACCCACCCTGCAGTCAAAAAACAAACCAGTACAAGAAGCCTTGTAATTTTGCTGAATGTATAATTCAACTCAAAGAGATGCCAGAAATCTACCATTGGAGACAAATTCAAGTATATAGTTAATATCTATGACTACATTCCTGCAACAAGACAATTGCATGCTGTAATTACTCCCCATTCCCCATTGTGTTTTCCGACTTATCTCTAAAGGAGAAAACACCCTTTTGTGTAATTACACCATTGTTCCTAATGGCAAATAATGGGTTTTGAACATTTTTGTTGTGACCTAAATCTCTCTGCTGGGCGTAGAAACAGCTACAGGAGACAAGATTCAAACTCTCATTTGAAGTTAATCACATATTGCCTAGTCTAATGTATTCCCCTTTTGAAAACCGAATGCAACCCTCCTGCAAATTCCTACAGAAGATTCTGTATTTGTAGAAATACCTTTTTAACAGAATAATTGACAGCATAAAATAGATCATAACAGAAAGGTTATATAGCTCATTGAATAATTAAAGAATACATAATGAATAATCTTTCAAAGTAATGCATTTTGCTGTCAAACAAATCTTCCTTCCCTGCTACCTAAAACAATATAAGAGGGTGGGTCAAATGTTTTTGCCTCCTCTGTCAAAACAGCAGAAGTTGCTACATGTCATAACCGGAACTATCCTCTGCACAAAACTACCATTCAACATAGTCACCATCAATTTGTATACATTTGCACTATCATTTAACCCAGGCATCAAATCCATTTTGGGGAAAAATCAGGGTTTTGCTTCGTGGCCCATGATTTTAAAGCTGCTTTAATGTCATTTGAGTTATTGAATCTGATACCACATAAGTTGTCTTTTTGGACCTCTTTATGACACAGGAGGCAAAACTTTTTGACCCACCCTTGTATAATTTCAAAGTTTTGAAAGTATTCAACAATCCATTTAGAACTAGAATTTAAGGCACTGTTAAAAAATTAATACCACCCAATCATTTAAAAAAACATTCTGCTACATCCAACTAAAAGTTGAAGTACTATTTAAATCAGCAGGTCTTTGCCTACCAGCAGAAAGAGAGCAAAGAAGTAAATTACCTGAGTTTCCTTTGGAATAGAGCTCCATCACTTAGGAACTCATGTCTTCATTGGAAAAGCCCATGAGGGCTTCAGGTTTATGAGAAAACCTCCCTCCGCAGGTCATCAAACTTGGATAGCCTCAAGTGGGGGAATATAGCTTTCCAGACAGTCCGAACCTAAGCCAGCCTAGAAATGAACCAATAGTCAGAAAAGGTATCTATATCTCTCCTTTCCATCAGACTAAGAGCATTTCATTGTAGAGTCCCCAGTCTGGACCAAGAAAACCAGGGCCTATTAGAGAGCCCTCCTCTTTCCAAACAATTCCATGTCAGGATCTCAATACAGAAGACTTGTTTGGAGAAGGAAGGAAGGCAGCACACCAAAGGCATATTAGCTGTGGCTGATACCACATGTAGTGACCATTATTAGCTTCAAAAGTGGTATATGTGAACCAGCATAGTTTAAAATATAATGATAATAATAATAATAATAAATAGAATATTTAATTTCCTAAGCACTTTTGACACATTCAAGTCTTGAACTAAGAGGTTGGGAAAGGCAGGTTGTCTCCTAGCTCCATTCCTGAAATCTTCACATATCGGGGTGTCTCTATCCTTCTGACCTTTGGGCATTCTCATATGGCCTGAAGGCAGGAAACAGCGTAACTTTTGCAAGCTCCCCATACAGTCCAGACCTCTGGGACTACAGTTGGCATTCCCTTCCGTTTTTCTTTTGGCAAATGGAGACCCAAGGGGCTGAGCCAGATAGGACTAGAAAGGGGAATTTGCCAGTCTCCTGAGGATTGTTGAATTTCAGGTTTCTGAACCCTTGAGAAATTCATCTGAGAATTAAATGGTCATGCCGAAAGTTGCCACAACTTGCAGGGACATTTGTTTTGCCTCTGGCATTAAACTACAGTATATAGTTTTGTTTAAAACTAGACAGGAGTTTGAGAAAATGTGCAGCTTTGCTGGGGGGGGGGGGGAACTATTCTCTCAATCCTTTCATGTACCATCTTTGCTGATTTGCATGTTGCATAAACCAAATGTTACACGACAGGAAAATAAACTTGGGGGTGATTTTTTGCCTAGTTTTGCCTTTGCCAGTTTGAATGCTGTGCAACTTCCTTCCTATTAGGAAAGTTACATCTAAAACTGTGTAGTTTCCAAACGGTCTGAAGCTTTAGGACAAAAATACTGCCTCGTTGTTCCTCATATCAGTCAGGGGACAAAAAGAAATCTTTTTTTTCTACGATAAGGCATGCAGATGATAGGGTATGGTGTGTGTGGCAATGGCCTCTTTTACTCTGCACATGGCGAGGATGTTAGGTTGCATTTGTTACAAATGAGAGGCAGCTCAAACATACTGAGCAGCCTTTTCTATAGGGACAGGAAGGCCAGGGATTTGAAGAGGTGTGTAAAGGAAGCCATAAGATGGAATTTCATGCCCTTAGATGTATATTGGGAGGGGCACAAAAGAAGAGAAATGTATTATTCCCCCAGTGATTTGATCTCCAGCTGTGAGACAGTTGTGGCAGCTCAGAGCGAATCGTAAGCCCATGGCAAGGACTGGTGTGAGTGTTTCAGACTTACATATTTTGATTTATTATTTATTGAATCATTTACATTACAAAAGTACAGAGACCTTGAGATTTTTTTTTGAAAAAGCAGAATCATTCATATTAGATCAAAAGTGTGGCAGCAATGAACATATGGCTGAATATATTACGACGACATGTATCAGCTTAAGATATGTTTGTTTGATATAGAATATTGAGTTGGAGGCTTTGTGTGACTGTGGCTGAGGAATTATTGGGAAACAAGGCATTTTCACTTTACTTGAAATAATAAATGCTGACAAGTGAGAACTTGAGCTAAAGGATGTCTTAAGAAGGCACTACCAAACCCCAGAGGTGAAACGCAGGGAGAAAAACGGGGCAGTGATTTACCAGTGATAGAAAATCAGGACACTCTGACACATTGGATGAGTTGGGATATTGTGGTGACCCTGCATTGCATCCAGTATTTTGGGTTGCATCCTGTGCATATTGCAAATATTACTATGATTTGTGGGTTGTATCACTGGTGGTAGGGCAGGAAAGAATGGTTAAACCATGATTAAAATCAAATGTGGGAGATTCAGCCTGTAATGAGCAAAGCCAGAGTATAATCATATCATCTCCCATTCTTTCTGCACCAAATCAGCACTGCAGGAACATGAAATATTCACCAATATGCAAAGTGTGAGCTTTATATTCCTGTAGAAATGAGTGTAAATCTGAAGTAACAAATGATCTTGTAGCTCATACCATCAAGTCCATCTTTGTGCTACATTGCTTTGTACTACTGCTTCTAGTCTGTTTTGAAAATCCACATTGGCCTAACCTTTTAACTGCCCAACCATTATTTGCAACTGAAATGGTGCATACGAAATAATACAGTGTTTCCTCATGCAGATCCTAAAATAGAAACTGTCTAAAACTCTTGCTATCTTTCAATTTATAGATTTTTTTAGGTACCCTGAGGTCAATTACCCTGTGGAGCACCATGTCACTGGGGGTGCTATTTTAATATAGCACTAGTAATAAAAATGACAATCACAACAAAAGTGTATATAGCTATATATAAGTAAATATTGTGTATAATTCGCAGGCACATGTTAGGGCTAAAATTATGGAATTTGATATGACCTGTGGATAAGTCAAGGGTCATTCTGCAGAGAGGGAGAAATGCCAGCTCTTGCTAATTGTAAGACCTTCTAGGTCCAGACAATCTTATATCAAATATACTCTGCAAAAGTCTTCAATTTACATGATTTTTTAATTAAAGGTAAAACATGTTTTGTAACATAGTCTACTAAATCTCTCTCTCTCTCTCTCTCTCTCTCTCTCCTTTAGCCATATAATAAATGAATTGATAGAAACAGAACGGGTCTATGTAGAGGAGCTCCAAAGTATATTAGAGGTAAGTTGAGTTATGTATGTAGAAAATGAAGGGCAAACCCAAGCCTTCTAATGTTTTCCAGTGGCCATTTTGAGACACCCAAAAGGTCAATAAGAGGGGAAGATACACTTTATTTATATTCCATCCTTCTCTCCTAGGGGACCCGGAGCAGATTAAAGCATTTACATACCTAGGCAAAAATTCAATGGCTTTTACAATCATACACAATTTTTGTTTTGAGACTCACAAACAAAAGCAGAGGTTTCTTCTTTCACTTCCTGGCTGTGTGCCTAGCAAAACTGCTTGGAGCATCTCTTTGGCTTTTCCCGCCGAAGCGGTACCTATTTATCTACTCACATTTGCATGTTTTTGAGCTGCTAGGTTGGCAGGAACTAGAGCTGACAGGCAGGAGCTCATCCAGGGCCCTTTCACACAACCCAGAATATCAAGGCAGAAAATCCCACAATATCTCTTTTGAACTGGGTTATCTGAGACCACACTCAGATAATATGGGATTTTCTGCCTTGATATTCTAGGATATAGGGCTATGTGGAAGGGTCTTGTGGATTCGACCTGCCAACCCTCAGCTCAGGTTGGTAGTTCAGCCAACCTTCAAGTCAGCAGTTCAGCAGCACAAGGGTTGCCACAACGGCACATTCAGTGCAACTGTGATTGATGCTTCATGTATTATGCTTAATGACATCATTGGTGTCTGTACATTATAACATCACCAGTGCTCACCAAACTATGCCTCTTATGATTCCATAGCACTGAGCAATGGTGGTTAAAGTGGTGTCAAACTGCATTAATTTTGCAGTGTAGATGCACCCAGTCCAATGTTCAAACCACTATGCCACACTAGAGCTTCCATCCTATATAATGGTGTGATTTATTGACTGACTATGGACAAGTGATGCTTAATTTTCTAACAATCCCAATATTGATTGGATGGAGTATAATAAATAATGTAAGCTGAAATAAATCAGGCACATTTGCTTGCACTTCCAACTAGTTGTAGAATTCAGAGTTTCATATTGCAGAATCTAGGTTTCTTTGGTGCAGAATTTCTTTATTTTTGCCCAAGATTTGACTAAATTGAAGATAGTCCAAAATAAGGACTACATGAATCAGTGGCCCAGGAGACTAGTTTCTTACGTTTGCTGTTTTTGTTTCAATTGGCCAAAAGTGGAGGTGGTGGGGAGCTCATATTTTCCATCTTCCATTCTCCCTATATGCTTTCTTCTTCTTCTTTAATAGGGCTATGCATCAGAAATGGACAATCCTGATTTAATTCACTTGATCCCAACTGCAGTTTTGAACAGGAGGGAAGTTCTTTTTGGAAATCTCTCAGAAATCTACGAATTTCACAACAGGTTTGCTGGCATAGTGTGCTATCAGACTATGAGAAGATGTAGGATACCCATTAATTTTGATCTGTAGCCTCTAATATACATGTGATAATACATTGCAAACAGTGATATCCAAGCACTTGTCCATATCCCAATCTCAACTGAAACCAGAACTTGGGCATTCTTCAATTTCATATTGGGGGGGGGGGGGGAAAAAAATAACATACATGCTTTTGATTGTTTTTTTTAGCCTTCCAGGAATAGTTTTCCAAAAATAGTAATGATTCCAAACTGTGTCTAAAACCATAGTTTAGAGTGATTCTAGACAAAAAACAGGTACAACTAGCCCCTGGCGTCTGCTTTAGTTTGGTTCTGTTTAGTTGAATCCATAGAGATTCAGGATAGATCAACATACAAATAAGTTGAGTGATCTTTTTGCTGTTCCCTACAAATTTAAATTCAAAAGTCACACAACATATATCTGTATGCAGCCATACATTACATATCCTGGTTCTTTTGCCCTAGTCAGGCAACTTTTACTTTAGGATTAAAACCAAAAGTTCCCGTTTCAGATCGTGGAGTAGATGCATAATGCAAGCTCTTTCCATTTTGAATATGAACAAATTTGTCAAGTTTGGTAAATTATTTGCAAGTTATATGCATCTAAACAGTTTGAACACATTCTAAATTTAGATTCCTCCCTTCATTTCCCCCATTTAATATATGTTAAGAAGTGAATACAGGCAGTCCCCAGGTTACAAACAATACAGGTCCTGTAGGTTTGTTTTTAAGTTGAACTTGTATGTAATTGTTGCACCTCAGGCCTGGAAACACCAATGACCACAGCACCACACAAGAGTCCAGAGTTTAAGCAAACAGTTTATTGTAAAAACACATAAAATGTATGAAAAATCTGGAATAAAGAAAGAATATGTATAATTCAAAAAAGGATTAGCAATATGTGATAACCAAACAGTAATCCCAATGTCTCCTGCAGATACCAAGGTAACACAGTCCAGGAATAGCCAAAAAGTCTCAAGTACAGCGTAAGTCCACGAGCAAAAGGTATACTTAGTAAAACCTGAGCAGGAATACAAAAACAAGAACATAGAAAGCTTTCAGGATACTTAAATCCAAAACCAAGGCTTGACTTGAAACAAGAAGCAGAGAACTCAGGCCTTGCTTCTTACTCAAACACTACATTGCGTGAACTAATCCTTAGGTAAACAACTTGCTTATTAATAGGCACCCATGAAGTAATTTCTTTTCCCATAAATTTTCTCCCCACCTTCCTCGTGTAATTGCTCTGACTGGCATAGCCTATTTTCTGCTCTAATCTGTAACCGAAGACTTTTGTTGATGTCCATAGCACCAGGTGTTTTTCCCTGGGAGCCTTCTGCATCACTTAACTCTTTGCCTGACTCCTTATCTAATGTTGCAGTTTCTGGCTCCTCTGACTGACCTTGAAGCCCTGCACTTTCTCAGTCCAGTTTCTCCTAGAACCATTGTTTTCCTGACTTGAACCTTCATCACTTTGCACCCCAGGAAATTCCACAGGAAATCCCACAAATTTCACTAAATCATCAGTGAACCCATCAGCCTCAGGCTGTACTACAACAGTAATGAACAGGTACATTTTTAAGTGTAACAGACACATAAACACACATACGTATATCACTTTTGGCATAGGGAAGAGTTAGCACCCTGCTGTGTTTGTTTTGCTGTCCACGCCCTGTTCAGAAGATTTCACCTCACTTTCTGTCCTTTTGAGAATTTGATTTTGGAAAATTTAGCTTGGAAACAAAGATTGGTGAGAAAGCCTCAATGGAAACACCTTTTCACCGTGATAACTCTTTCAGGAGTATATTTCCCTTCCAAGGGGGAGTATATTTCCCTTCCAAACAGGGGTGAGGACTTCCTGTGTCCTCATCCCTGTTTGTAACTATAAGTTGCTTATAAGTTGGATGTTTGTAACTAGAGGACTGCCTGTATACAGAATAGAAGTACTTCTTGCAAATGGCTCTTGGATGTGGGTTCCTTCCTACACCTTGGTCAGAAGGCTTTTATATTATCAACAGCTTGCTTTTTCCTTTGAAAATATAATGATAGCAAGAATTCTATAATAAGGGCACAGAAGGAAGCTGTTGTGGAGAAACACCAGCATGGAATTGAAACCTATAGGGAAAAAACCATTCCGAGACCAGTTGTAAAGTCTTGCACAGCATTTAGCACAACTTAATTCCATGCCTCACTCTCTTGTGGCTTTTACAAAAATAACCCCCACAAGAACAAAATATTACAGATGCCATTGTCAAGAGCACAGCATGGTTGTACTGTTTGAGTAGCTACCTATGGATCATTTCCCCCTCAGTCTTGGAATAGAAAAGGGGTTTCAAAATGTGACGCAAAAGGTGTTATACTGTAGGCACAATACAATAATTTTCTTCTTGTTTTTTTCACCTTTTTTCTTTTATCTGAATTGCAGAATCTTCCTCAAAGAGCTAGAAAACTGCATTGAGAATCCAGAGTTTCTTGGTCGGTGCTTTTTAAAAAGAGTAAGTGAATTGTATTTGTTTGGTCAATCATGTATCTGAAGATGTATTCAGTTGGTCATATAGCAAAATAAAATAACATTCAAATTCAACAAAACAGTGATACCTGTATTGGGCCAACCTAAAATGCATGATGTAACTTTCAAAGCTCCCCTGGATATCTCTCCGTGCCATATTAACTGATGACAATGACGACAGCCACAACAGCAACAACACGTATTGACAAATTGTAGGCCTGTGACTCCAACACTGTCATATTTTTCATCTCCTATACAACTCTTCATGCTTTTGCTTAATGAAGAGGCCAGTGGAGCTTCTAAAGCATTTTTGGTTGGCCTAATAAAGGTGTCACCAAACGCAGTGCCCAAAGATGAATCAAGGAACTTCAAAGCCACTGCAGACTAATTCAGCCTGAAAAGTCAGCCATAGCAGAGCAACTGATAAACCAACCTGGACACAGCATATTATTTGAGAACACAGAAATGCTGGACCACCCTTAACAAGCACCATGTCAGGCGACACAGAAAAGCCACTGAAGTTCACAAGCATGTGGACAATTTCAACAAAAAGGAGGAGAACATGAAAATGAACAAAATCTGGGTACCATTATTTCTAAAAAACTCTTAAATCAGGACTGTAAATAAAGAGCAACACTCAAAAAGCAGGAGAATTCCAGACAAGGATCAATAAGGGCCAGCTAACACTTCCAAACAAAGGATTCCCCCAGGCAGCAATCAGTCAAGCTTTGAAGCTGCAAGCCATTCAGTGCTAATCAAGGTGGCCAATTGCAATATTCACACCTGTCTCAAGCAGACAAGAGTTATTTTTCCCACCCTGCCATAGATGTGAGTGATGCCTGCCATAGATGTGAGTGAAACTTCAGGAGAGAATGCTTCTGAAACATGGCCATATAGTGCAGAAAACTTACAGCAACCCAAAGGTATCACTGTTTAGTGGATTTGGAATGTTACAATCACTAAGGGTGCATCTACCTTGCAGAATTAATGCTGTTTGATACCACTTTAGCTGCCAAGTCTCAGTGCTATGGGATCATGGGAGCTGTAGTTTGGCGAGGCAAGGAATGCTCAATATCTTGCAAAACCTCAGCTCCCATGATTGCATAGTATTGAGCCGTGACAGTTAAATTGGTGTCAATCTGCAGTAGTTCTACAGTGCCGATGCACCCCTGGATAACTAGATGATGGTAGAGTTTCATGTTATCTCTACACGGAACTGGCATCTCCCTCCTCCTCTTTTCCTCTGGAAACTTCTGAGAATCAGGCCACATAACACAAAGAAGGGAAACACTGGTGATCTGAAATGGCAAACCTGTAAGCACAAATGAGATGACAATAACAATTTTAAAAGTGCAAATGATTGAGTTTAGTTGTTCCACTAAAGTGAGATAGTTCCAGCGCGTTCTTGCTAATTCAGCAGAATGCAGACACTCACGCTGCTTTTTCCCCCATGGAAACCAAAGAGAAAGCTCCTTTACTAAAGCGAGAAACATCCTGAGGATGCTGGCACAGATGTATACAGACTGGAAACGCCCCAGCTGCAAGCCAGGATTTCATAGCTGGAACAGCTTGCTTTTCTTAGGCTGGACCTTACACTATTGCTTTAACTGCCATAGCTCAGTGCTATGGAGGACTCCAAAGAGTTGTTGTTTTACAAAGTCTTTACCTTTCTCTGCCAAAGAGGGCTGGTGCCTTACCAACTACATCTTCTAGGATTCCATAGCACTGAGCCATGGCAGTGAAAGTGTGTCACATTGCATTAATTCTACAGTCTAGATGCACACCCCTAGTGAGAGATCTGATTCCTGAATCCTGGTCTGATGTTGTTAAAGGAAAAATAGTGTAGCAGTTTTGAAGTATAGCCTAGCCATGACATTTCTTCTTTTTTCAGGACTTCACCCAACTTCTTAAAGTTCAGGATTGCATACAATACTATTTTGAAGGATTCTGTGGAAAAATTAGCGTGAGGTCAATGTGCTCCTGCATCATGATCCAGTTTGCATTGCATGTAGTTCCTTGGATTTATTTTCCTGTTGCTTTGGTTACTTCTTTATTTTCCGGGCATGGAAGAACATGATGAGTTATTTAGATTCCTAAAACAAATCAACTGTTACCAGTTTTTTTTTAACCGGTCCATTAACCTTTGTTTGCTGCCTGGTTAAAACACCGATGCATGGGTTTCATCAGCAAGAACTCCAGCAATTATACTATAGATCTCCTGAAGACAATGAGAGTTGTTCAACAGTTCTGAAGCAAACTATTTGTTCCTGTCCTTCATCTTTGAAGCACTGAAACATTTGAAGCACTGAAACATTCTAGACTGAGGCAAGAACTTGAAAAAGGGTTAAGGTACTTTTGTGAACTACAGCAACCAAAATAAAGTTTCCAGATGAGGGCTAAATCATATCTTAGGGTGCATCTGTACTGTATAATTAATGCAGTTTGGTAGCACTTCAGTGGCATGACTCAGTGTTATAGAATTCTGGGAGTTGTAGTTTTATGAAACCTTTCACCTTCTCTGCAAAAGACTGCTGATACCTCACTAAACTACAGCTCCTGGGATTCTATAGCACTGAGCCATGGCAGTTAAAGTGGTGTCAAAATGCATTAATTCTATAGTGTAAATGTATCCTTTGCCATGTTATCTGCCTCAAATTACAGAAAAGGAGATTCCGCTGAACTACCTGACCATAAGAACTATTTAACAGTGGAACTCACTGTCTTGGAGTTGGTGGAAGTTTCTTCTTTGGAGACTTTAAACAGAGTCTGGATGGCCATTTGTTGGGGTTGCTTTGATTGTGCTTTTTCTGCATGGCAGGGGTTGGACTGGATGGCCCTTGTGGTCTCTTCTAGCTCCATGATTCTATGATTCTAACCCATTATTAGGTGTTCAATGTATTGTCGAAGGCTTTCATCACTGGAATCATTGGGTTGTTGTAGGTTTTTCGGGCTGTATGACCATGTTCTAGAAGCATTCTCTCCTGACGTTTCGCCTGCATCTATGACAGGCATCCTCAGAGGTTGTTTCCAGATACACTGCTGATGCTGTTTGGTTCTTGGGCTATCCCTAACATAGCAGAATGTTGGCCAGAAAGAAATACAGCAGCTCCTGAAAAGTTGTGGGTTTTTTTTTTTTTTTTTTGAGATAGTAGCTGGGAGAAAAGCGTTCCAGACAGAAGTCCATTTGTATGGCTGCCTTCCCAAAACATTTGGCTGTTTGCTCCTCCTCGGCGAGGGGTCCTTCTCTCCGCCTGAGCCAGATGTTTCACGGGTGGCCGTGTTTACTTTGGCACTGAGAAACTTCTCCATCTGCTGCCAAACACAATAACACTGATTTTTAAAAAAGAAAATTAAAATAACCATGCATTTTTCTACTGTAAGTTTTCCAACGCAGCCGTTGAAACAGCAAACATTCTACTTGTTTTGATTAGAAATAACTGCATCAGAATTTGAAATTTAACTTTGTTCAGAGGATGACCCTTTGAGTGCTAAAATGCTGCTAGAAATGGAAGAAAAACAGGTTAAGGAATGCATGAGAAAGTGGCCACAAAACATTGGCGGATAGCTGCATTTGGACCAGTGTGGAAAATTGTGGATGAAAAGTTTAAAATTCACTTTGAGTTATAATTTGAAGGGAAATAGTTATAAAGTGATGTATAGTTCACTCCCAAGAGGCTTTCTGAGATGCTGTGAACAAATGTTAACAATGCAATAACAACTTAGGGACATGAAGATAAAGCAAAGAAGTTTTGGACTCGAACCATAGGATATTGGCAGATATTTTAAATGAAACCTGAAGTCTATTATTGGGTATGATGGATGAACAGTTAAAGAAGAAGCATGGAAGAATTATCCAGTATATGATCATGGCTGCGAAACATTTATATAAGCTCAATGATGAAAAGACACTATGCTACCAATACAATTCGGAAAATATATAACTTGGCAAAGATGAACAAACTGACAGGATCAATCAAGGACAAAACTTTCTTAAACTTAAAAAGAATTGGGACTTGAGTTTTGAGGCAAAGTTGTGGGGATAATAATTTTATTTATTTATTTATTTAAATACAAATAAATAATTCTATATAAATAAAAATGTAATGTTCGTTTGTGGGATTAACAGAACTCAAAAACCAGTGGGCCAATTGACACCAAATTTGGACATAAGACACCTAACAACCCAATGTATGTTGTTCACTAAAAAAAATTGATTTTGTCATTTGGGAGTTGTAGTTCTTGGGATTTATAGTTCACCTACAATCAAAGAGCATTCTGAACTCCATCAACGATGGAATTAAACCAAACGTGGCACACAGGACTCCCATGATCAACAGACAACACTAGAAGAGTTTGGTGGGCACTGACCTTGAGTTTGGGAGTTGTAGTTCACCTACATCCAGTGAGCACTGTGGACTCAGACAATGATGGATCTGGACCAAACTTGGCATGAATATTCCATATGCCCAAATATGAACACAGATGGGGTTTGGGGGAAATAGACCTTAACATTTGGGAGGTTTAGTTACTGGGATTTATAGTTCACCTATGATCAAAGAGCATTCTGAACCCCACAAACGACAGAATTGGGGCAAACTTCCCACACAGAACTCCCAGGACCAAGAGAAAGCTACTTAAGGCCATCCAGTCCAACTACCTTCACCAGGACAAGAAAATCTAACCAAAGCCCTCCTGACAAAGAGCCATCCATCCATAGATACAGATATTAGTGATTCACACACACAGAGGTATAATATCATAGATTTGAAAGGGACCCCTAAAGAAGGACAATGATATGTTGCATATTCCAGAGAAGACACTCTCCACATCAACACTGACAAAGTGTTGCTTGTGATTCTGCCCACAAGCAGAAAGAAATTACATATATTAGAAACCACTACTTTATTTTCCAGATCACCAGACTGGGCCACAGCAATGCGTGGCAGGGGACAGCTAGTAAATAAATAAATAATAACACTTTATTTGTATTCCGTCCTATCTCCCTGAGGGGACTCAGGGCAGATTCCAGCATATACAGAGACACAAAGCAAACATTCAATGCCTCAAAACAATGAAACACAAGACACACAGATAAAGGTAAAGGCTTCCCCTTTCATCTCCGGCTCTGGGGGGTGGTGCTCATCTCCATTTCTAAGAGACTGCGTCGTCCGTAGACACCTCCTGGTCATATGGCCAGTATGACTGCATGGAGCACTGTTTACCTTCCCACCGAGGCAGTTGTTGCAGCAAAAAATTTGGGGTTCTGTGTGTAGCAACAAAACAGTCCCTTTCTATAGTGGAAGCACTTCCCCTCTGGAGCAGACAAATACAACTTGTCTTGTCAGTAGAAAAGTTTATACATAAATATGTGTAGCAGAAGATCTTGTCTCTTCTCCAGCCCTTCTTCCTGATACCGTCGGTTAGTTCACACCTTCTTCTTGGCGATAGGCTCGCTCTGGTTTTATTCACCAATCTTTCAGTCTCTTTGCAGCTTCCTCTTCAACAACACACAACAACTCTATCCTCTCAGCACCATCATTAGTACACTTATAATTACTTATAATTACTCCACCCTGGCTGTTGATTACTCAGTGCTAGCCAGATTGTTTGACTCTTAATACTTGTTGGCCCTGATCCTTACACTTACTTAAGAAATGATATAATGTAAACATTCTGACAGTGGTTCCTATTGATCTATTCACATATTTTCGAACTGCTAGGCTGGCAGGAGCTGGGGCTAACAGCAGGAGCTCACCCTGTCCCACAGATTTGAACCACCAACCTTCTGGTCAGCAAGTTCAGCAGCTCACTGGTTTGAGGCATTGCTCCACCACAACCCCGAAGAGCTAGCACTCTTCGGTTTCTAGGGATAATAGAGATATGCTTCTGGTAGGAGTGCAATTAAGATATTGCATTGTCAAAGTTTATTAACTTGATAATTACAACCATGAGTTAAGAAGGTGGAAGTACTTTCGTAGTTGGGGTTTAGTTGTGTTAATTTCATTAGATGTGTATTGTTTTTACTTAAATGTTATTTATTTATTTACTAGCCGTCCCCTGCCAAACGTTGCTGTGGCCCACAAGGGGGTTCTGTGTGGGAGGTTTGGCCCAATTCTGTCGTTGATGGGGTTCAGAATACTCTGTGATTGTAGGTAAACTATAAATCCCAGCAACTACAACTCCCACATGTCAAGATTCTATTTTCCCCAAACTTCACCAGTGTTCACATTTGGGCATATTGAGTATTCGTGTAGAGTTTGGTCCAGATCCATCATTGTTTGAGTCCACAGTGATCTCTGAATGTAGGTGAACTACAACTCCAGAACCAAAGGACACTGCCCACCAAACCCTTCTAGTGTTTTCTGTTGGTCATGGGAGTCCTGTTTGCCACGTTTGGTTCGTTTGTGGGGTTTAGAATGCTCTTTGATTGTAGGTGATTGTAGATCCCAGCAACTACAACTCCCAAATGACAAAATCAATTTTTTTGAGTGAAGGACATACATTGGGTTGTTAGGTGTCTTGTGTCCAAATTTGGTGTCAATTCGTCCAGTGGTTTTTGAGTTCTGTTAATCCCACAAACGAACATTACATTTTTATTTATATAGATTTATTTCACACATTTGTATCCCATCCTTCTCACCCACGAAGGGGGACTCAGGACGGCTTCACAACAAGCAACTATTTGATGCCAATACATAAATTATAAAACAGGTACAGTTAAAACAACAGTTAAAATCAGTTATTAAAACATTCATGTAAACTAGTTCCACCGGTTCAGAATCATAGTCTGTAGTTCTCTCTGTCTCCCTATCTATGTATGTATCTGTAAATAAGCTCTGAAACCGTGATTTGAAGGGAGCGCCCCTGGATATCCAGAAAATCTTGAAATCCTTAGTTATGATTAAGAGGAGACTGTCTGATTGTAGTTATGGAAGGAGAACAGGGTTTGCCCAAGGCAAAGGAGAGACAATGTACAGTATGTTCTTTGGGATGGATCCCGATTTTCTTTGGAAGCCACCTCTGAATTGTCTCATTGTGCTACATACTCCAAGGAACATGAAAGGCACTGCAGACTACTTCAACCAGAGAAGTCAGCCATAGCAGAGCACCTGATGAACCAACCTGGACACAGCATATTATTTGAGAACACAGAAATGCTGGACCACACCAACAACCACCATGTCAGACTACACAGAGAAGCCATTGAAATCCACAAGCATGTGGACAATTTCAACAGAAAGGAGGAAACCATGAAAATGAACAAAATCTGGCTACCAGTATTTAAAAACTCTAAAATTACAACAGCACAGCAAAACAGAGGAAACAATCAAGGACATCTAATCACCTCTCAACAAAAGATTGCCCCAGGCACTGCCAGGCCATCAAATGCTAATCAAGGGGGTCTGTTGAAACATTCACACCTAGCTCCAACAGACAAGAGTCCTTTGTCCCACCCTGGTCATTCCACAGATATATAAACCCATTTTCCTAGTTCCAACAGACCTCACTACCTCTGAGGATGCTTGCCATAGTTGTAGGCGAAACGTCAGGAGAAAATACCTCTAGCACATGGCCATATAGCCCTACCTACAACAGCCCTACCTGGACCTACAACAACCCATACTCCATTTTACCATGTTTCCTTCAGAACTTACTGACACTGTATTTTGACTTTTTAAAATTATTTATTTCCTTTATGTTGCAGAAGGAAGATCTCCAAATATATGAAAAATATTGCCAAAACAAGCCACGGTCAGAAGCCCTTTGGAGGCAGTGTGGAGATAGCCTTTTCTTTCAGGTGGGTCCTAAATAGCTGAAGGTACTGAATGCTCCTGAAGAGTATCTCATCTTACCCTGATTAATGTAGCATGTCCGCTTCTTGAATCAGCTTGATGTGTTTGTGGACCCATCAAAGGAATTAAGTAACTGAATGTTTGAATTAATCCAACCTTCCTATATCATGTATGCCTTTTCCCCTCAAGAAACCTATGCTATTCTTCCTTAGGAAAATCTTTTGCTGCACAAAGCTTCCCAAATGTCAGAAGAAATTTGGGAACTGCAAAATACCTATTTATTTATTTATTTATTTATTTATTTATTTATTTATTTATTTATCGTGTCAGGGCAACCAGTCGATTATATTACATTTCTAAAGGAACAAAGCAAACAAACAGAAAAATACAAAATTTGTGAGTTTGGTAGTTGATTAAATGTCCTTTGACCAGTATCTGGCCACTTGGAGTGCTTCTGGTGTTGCTGCAAGGTCCTCCATTGTGCATGTAGCAGGGCTCAGGTTGCATTGCAGCAAGTGGTCAGTGGTTTGCTCTTCTCCACACTCGCATGTCGAGGATTCCACTTTGTAGCCCCATTTCTGAAGGTTGGCTCTGCATCTCGTGGTGCCAGAGCGCAGTCTGTTCAGCGCCTTCCAAGTCGCCCAGTCCTCTGTGTGCCCAGGGGGGAGTCTCTCATTTGGTATCAGCCATTGGTTGAGGTTCTGGGTTTGAGCCTGCCACTTTTGGACTCTAGCTTGCTGAGGTGTTCCAGCGAGTGTCTCTGTAGATCTTAGAAAACTATTTCTAGATTTAAGTCGTTGACGTGCTGGCTGATACCCAAACAGGGGATGAGCTGGAGATGTCTCTGCCTTGGCCCTTTCACTATTGGCTGCTACTTCCCGGCGGATGTCAGGTGGTGCAATACCGGCTAAGCAGTGTAATTTCTCCAGGGGTGTAGGGCGCAGGCACCCTGTGATAATGCGGCATGTCTCATTAAGAGCCACATCCACTGTTTTAGTGTGGTGAGATGTGTTCCACACTGGGCATGCATACTCAGCAGCAGAGTAGCACAGCGCAAGGGCAGATGTCTTCACTGTATCTGGTTGTGATCCCCAGGTTGTGCCAGTCAGCTTTCGTATGATATTGTTTCTATCACCCACTTTTTGCTTGATGTTCAGGCAGTGCTTCTTGTAGGTAAGAGCACGGTCCAGAGTGACTCCCAGGTATTTGGGTGTGCTGCAATGCTCCAGTGGGATTCCTTCCCAGGTGATCTTCAGAGCTCGGGATGCTTGTCTGTTCTTCAGGCAAAATATCTATGTGTCAGAGCACAATTTTCTTTCTCTTCATACCACATTATCTTTCCCATTGAGTTGTTTTTGAAAACCGTAAGAAAAGCTGTGTTGCATCAAACCAAAGGCCTATTTAGTCCAGCATTCTGTCCCTACAGAGGCCAAACAGATGCCTCTAGGAAGCCTGCAAGCAAATCATGGGTGCAAAAGCGATTCCCTGTCCATGTTCCCCAGCAACTGGTGACTGTCCAGAGGTATATAGTCCATGATACTGGACACACAGTGGCCCTTGGTATCTGCTGGGTTTGCTTTCAGGAAACCCAGTAGATACTAAATCCCATGGGTGCTCAAGTCCTATTCTCTACAATGACATAGTAAAATAGTTCCCCTTTTTGTAAAATGATAAAACCAAACTTTGCTTTTAGGAATTATTTTTACTGCTTTCAAGCCATAGATGATTGAATCAGTGCATATAGAATCTGTGGATGCAGGTGGCCGACTGCAAAAATGGACCTCTTGAGTTGTAGACATTCATAACCTTATTCTCTTATGCTGTCTAATATTCCTTTGAAGTAATCCAAAGTGTTGCCCAGTTGTGATAGTGAATATCGCAGCGTATGAGATATGTGAAGAACTACCTCTATTAATTAACAATTAGTTAATCTCTCATTTTATATACAGGAATCTTAGGGTACAATGTGATATCAATTTTTATAATTTTGTTGTTCTGTGCCTTCAACTCATTTCCAACTTATTTGAATCCTAAGGTGAACCTATGCTAGGATTTTCTTGGCAAGATATGTTCTGTGAAGATTTGCCATTGCCTTTCTTTGAGACTGAGAGACTGTGACATGTTCAGAGTCAATAGGTTTCCATGGCTGAACATGGATTCAAACCCTGGTCACCAGATGTCTGGTAATCCAACGCTCATCCCACTACACCACTTGAACCTGAATAAAAATAACTAAAATAATAAGATAAAAGCATATTAAAATTAATACTTAAAAGAAGAGTCTTGTAATTTCACAACAGTTCAATAATAATAATAATAATAATAATAATAATAATAATAATAATAATGCACTTTATTTATATTCCACCCTTCTCCCCTAGGGGACTCAGAATGGATTACAGCATTTACAGCAGACATAGGCAAACATTCAATGCCTTACGTCACATACAATGAGACACACAAACACAGACAAGGCAAAGGCTTCTCCTTTTTCATTTCTGGCTACTGGAGGCGGTGCTCAGCTCTGGCTCTGGCGGTGACGTTCTTCTCCATTTTCAAGGCAAGGAGCCTGCGTTGTTGCCTCCTGGTCATGTAGCCAGCAAGACCACTTGGAGCATCTTTTGCCTTTTCCCGCCAAAGCGGTACCTATTTATCTACTCAAATTTACCTTTTTAACTGCTAGGTTGACAGGAGCTAGGGCTAACAGCAGGAGCTCACCTCGTCCTGCGGTTTCGAACTGCTGACCTTTTAGGTCAGCAGTTCAGCAGCACAAAGGTTTAGCCCACTGTGGCCCCAATTAGAATACTACTGGAATATTTCATCCTGGAATAAAATGCAAAACAAATTCTATAATGATAAGCTGTTAATGTTATGAACCCAAAGAGGTTCCTGTTCTTTTGTGCAGAGTGTTCAAGGAGTAGTATGGCAGTTTAGACCAATAAGGCACTTTAGAGACCAAATGTGGTTTTAACACTATTCATGTAACATTCATTGAAATACAATCATCACAGAATCATATCAGAATCACATCAAGGGAGAGTTCTCGTGCACACACACATTCACACATACTCGCACACACACAGGCCTCCTCCAGCGAAGATGATCAGTCTTTTCCAAGGAGATGCGGACGCTCCGTTGCTGCGGATCAGGAAGCATGCATGTTCTTGGGCTCCCCTGCATTCATAGGCCAAGATCTATTTTTCTTTTTAATAATCACACTGTTCTGTCCCTTTCAAGTCCTTGTTCTTTTCAAGTTCAGGACATTCACATTCCAGACCACATGACTTATGGGGGACCTCCTGCACAATCCTTACATGCTCGGTCATACACATTATTGTCCATTGTTGTTCAGCTATGCCTTGCTGCCTCCTCGCTTCGACTGCCAAATCCGACCCATATCATGCCTTGTAAGAACTCCATGTTGATTTTCCTTCAGGCCTGTTTCTTCTGCCCTTGATTTCAACACTTTGTTGTTGTTGTTCATTCGTTCAGTCGTCTGTGACTCTTCGTGACCTCATGGACCAGCCCACGCCAGAGCTCCCTGTCGGCCGTCACCACCCCCAGCTCCTTCAAGGTCAGTCCAGTCACTTCAAGGATGCCATCCATCCATCTTGCCCTTGGTCGGCCCCTCTTCCTTTTTTCTTCCACTTTCCCCAGCATAATTGTCTTCTCTAGGCTTTCCTGTCTCCTCATGATGTGGCCAAAGTACTTCAACTTTGTCTCTAGTATCCTTCCCTCCAATGAGCAGTCGGGCTTTATTTCCTGAAGTATGGACTGGTTGGATCTTCTCGCAGTCCAAGGCACTCTCAGCACTTTCCTCCAACACCACAGTTCAAAAGCATCTATCTTCCTTCCTCAGCCTTCCCTATGGTCCAGCTCTCACACTAGTAAGATCAATTAAATACTTTTCCTTCTCGGGTGCTGGACGAGTCCCTGGCCGCTGTGTCGATCTGGATGAGGAAGAACAAGCTGAAGATCAATCCCGACAAGACAGAGGTCCTCCTGGTCGATCGTAAACCGGATCGGGGTATAGGGTGGCAACCTGTGTTGGACGGGGTTACACTCCCCCTGAAGCCACAGGTCCGCAGTTTGGGTGTCCTCTTGGATTCTTCGCTTACACTTGAGGCTCAGGTGTCGGCGGCATCCGGGAGGGCCTTTGCACAACTGAGACTTGTGCGCCAGCTGCGACCGTACCTCGTGAAGGCTGATCTGGCCGGGGTGGTCCATGCCTTGGTCACCTCTAGAATGGATTACTGCAATGCGCTCTACGTGGGGCTGCCCTTGAAGACGGCTCGGAAACTGCAATTGGTCCAGCGGGCAGCAGCCAGGATGCTAACTGGAGCTCATTATCAAGAGAGGTCTACCCCTCTGTTTAAGGAGCTCCACTGGCTGCCATTCATTTTCCGAGCCCAATTCAAGGTGCAGGTGCTCACCTACAAAGCCCTGAACGGTTTGGGACCACCCTACCTGCGTGACCGCATCTCCATCTACGAACCCACACGCTCGCTCCGGTCATCTGGGGAGGCCCTGCTCGTGATCCCACCTACGTCGCAAGCGCGCTTGGTGGGGACGCGGGACAGGGCCTTCTCTGTGGCGGCCCCCCGACTTTGGAATGCCCTTCCAAAAGAGCTCCGTCAGGCCCCTACTCTAGCAGTTTTCAAAAGGAACCTAAAAACTTGGCTGTTCCGATGTGCCTTCGCAGATTAGGAATCCCCATCCCAAGTCCTAGATGCACTTTGGCACAACTAATGTGGCTGCACACCGCACTTTAATCCTACGTTCCTCCTGCCATCTCAGCACTTTTAACCCTGTACCCCACTGCGCTGGCCGAACCAGTTTTTAATAGTGTCTTGATGTTTTGTCATTGTGGTTACTTTGCTTATTTGATTTGCTTTGTTTCTATTGTTGTGTTATGTTTTTATTGTATTGTGTTTTGAGGCTTCGGCCTGTGTAAGCCGCATCGAGTCCTTCGGGAGATGCTAGCGGGGTACAAATAAAGTTAATAATAATAATAATAATAATATTGCCCTTCCAAATAAAAATTCAGCCTCCTAATTTCTAACTTTGTCGTTAAATTAAAATTTCATTTTTGTTCTTGGGAATACAAGAAGAAAAGGAGCAGGCAGAGTGACCAAGGGAATGAGAACACAGCAAACACAATCATTTTAGATGTTAATTATTTTCGTGGTCTCATTCCCTACAATGTTGGAAATGTGGGGACAATATCTTAACCCCAGTCACACACTTGATAAAGCACATTCCCTTCCAGGGGGTATCGTTTAAGTCATGTTCCTTAAGATAGGCTGCAGGACTCCTCTCTGCGTTCCCACAGTCCTGACAATGAACTCTCACAATGTGTTTTTCTGCCATAAAATGCAAAACAGCTCACTCAAGCAGAAAACTTAACTGATCTTGAGACAAATGGCATGGAACTCTGGAAGAAGCTAATTGGGAAGCTGTTCTGACTATTTCTGAAACATTAGACACTTCAGTATTGAGGCAAACAAACACAAGTCATTACTTCTATTTTTCAGCATGACATATCTGCCTCACTTCAGAAATATGGCAGAAGGAGGTAGTAGCTGGGACTCTATATACTGCATAAACCAACACATACCATGTATTACTGCTTCTTTGTGCTTAACTCCTCCCCCCCCCCCCCACACACACACAGAAACACACTGTAAATAGGAAAATAAAATACTGAAGTGGCTGAGTCTATCATAATGTTTCATATGTAAGGAAAGGTTTCCCCTGAGACTATTTCTAAGCCGAAGAGCCAGTGTTGTTCGTAGACACTTCCAAGGTCATGTGGCCAGCATGACTGCATGGAGCACTGTTACCTTCTCACAGAAAAGGTACCTATTGATGTTCTCACATTTGCATGTTTTTGAACTGCTAGGTTGGCAGAAGCTGGGCCTAACAGTGGGAGCTCACTCCGCTCCCCGGATTCAATCCGCCAACCTTTCGGTCAGCAAATTCAACAGCTCAGTGGCTTCATATGTAAATCACAGCAAACAACCTGTTATGAGCTGAGCATTCATTATTCAGAATTCCAACTATTCCACAATCATTGACATGGGTGGCTGAGACAGTACCACCTTTGCTTTCTGATGATTCGGTGTACGCAAACTTTGTTTCATGCACAATAATATTAATATATTGTGCATCAAATTCAGTTTATGGACTTCATCACACTTTATGCCACAATCCCACGGCATTCACGTAATCATGGATAGCAACTAGGCTTGGGTAACCATGGAAAAATTTGGTTCTAAACTCGTTTTGTTTTTAGGGGGCCCTTGCGTTTCGTTTTTTTTAATAATTCCGAAAATTTTCCTTTAAAAAATTTCGAAATTTATGAAATTTCGTAAAATTACGAATCGATTCGTTAATGGCGGACGAGATTGCGCAATATGCTAAAAAATCCTCCAAATGGGACAGGAGGAACTTCTGAAGCTTCCCTCTCCCTCTGTTGTTGACTGTTGGTGTGATAAAACAAACAACAACTATAAAACTTGCACCAGACATGCGAAAATAATTACGAAATAATTACAAAATAATTACGAAATAATTACGAAATAATTTCAAAATAATTACGAAATAATTTCGAAATAATTACGAAATAAATTGAAAAAATTGTTTCGAATCTTAATTACTCCTCGCACTATTCCTGCATGGCTCAATATTGGATCGAAAGCTAATTTAAATACGAATTAATAACGAATTACGAAATTAATGAACGAAACCGCCCAAGCCTAATAGCAACTCACCAGGATGATAACTCTTGTTATCACACTTCTCCATTGACATGCAACTGAGACAATCAGCTGCAAGGCTATTCAATGCTAATCAAGCTGACCAGTTTGCAACATTCACACTTGCCTCAAAGAGACAAGAGTTCTTTCTCCCACTCTGGACATTCCACAGACACATAAACCCCACTTGCCTAGTTTCCAATAGACCTTACCACCTTTGACGATGCCTGCCATAGATGTGGGTGAAACGTCAGGAGAGAATGCTTCTGGAACATGGCCATGCAGCTTGGAAAACTCACAGCAATCCAACAATACACTGATCCACGGTCCTGCGGCCCAACTTCTGGTTAGGATCATAACCCTGCTTTCCTGGATTTCTGCTCCATAATGTTTTTTAAAATTATTTTTAATGCAACTTTACAAGTATAGCAAAGGTCAGGTTAAAATATACCTTTAAATCATTTAATTACTGCAAAGTGGAGTAAGGGAGAGGAGGACAATCCTGCCTCCTGATGTCACTTCAGTGCCAGCAGGGATAACATAGTAGTCCTATTTCGAGATTGGTTTGCCACCTTCATGCAATAAAGTCCTTGGTGTGTAAGGTGTATATGAAGCATAAATGAATTTCAGTTGAATTTATATTATATGGATTCATTTTTCAGAGCGTGATTGTGATCTGTCTTTCACAAGATTCAATAATAGCATATTGTAAATCTTACACCTCAAATCTGAGCAAACACATTTTGAATTATAATTTAAACAATTTTTTTTAAAGTTGCCAGAGGATATCCATGTTTTTAAACCGGAAGGGCTATTCTAAAAGCAACGGGTTATACAGCTGTAATTCTGTACTTAGTGTTCCTGCCTACTATGTTCATTTTCACTTTCCTTTTCTTCTCCACTTCCAGGAATGTCAGAGGAAACTGGACCATAAACTTTCCCTTGATGCTTATCTCTTGAAGCCAGTTCAGAGGATAACCAAGTACCAGCTGCTTTTAAAGGTATTGACTGAATTCATTCCAGAAAACCACTTTAAGGCAAGGAGAAACAGTGGGTTACTGCAGCACCAGCTGTGACCAATCTGGAGCCCTCCCGGTGTTTTAGATTATACTTCCCATCTCCCCCCAGTCAGCACAGCATTTTGGTGCTGTGTTCACACTTGCTAAAATATGCAGATCCAGAGTTCCAGAGGTTTGATGGCAGTTACACATGGCAAAAGGGAGGCAGAAAAAGGAATGCATCACCAAAAAGAATAGGGATTGACATTTAATTCACATGTGTTAATTTATTTGGGTAGGTTTGGAAATTATTTATTTATTTACAGTATTTATATTCTGGCCTTCTCATCCCTCAGGGGACTCAGGGCGGATTACAATGCATGGCAAACATTCAATGCCACTTAGACACACAACATATATAGACAGACACAGAGGCAATGTAACATTCCAGCTTTTTCTGGCTTCATGAGGGTATGCACGATTCTGGCCACGGGGGAGCTGCCACTTCACCGTCCACTTGTGACACAGGGTCCTTTGATGGAGTACTTCCTCATTCTTACGCACGCTGCTGGAAGGTTTTTGGTGTCGTAAGCTAAATTAGCCTCCCTGCATAAAGCGGTATTTAAATTTCCTACTTGACAAATGCAGCTGTCTTTTGGGCTGCATAGGTCAACAGCAAGCTAGACTATTAATGGTTGGGAGCTCATTCCAACCCTGGCTGGCTTCAAACTCATGACCTCTTGGTCAGTAGTGATTTAATGCAGCTGACTACTAACTAGCTGCGTCACAACCTGGTCCATGAAATGGTTAAATTCTGATTTCATAATCTGAATCGTCATGAGATGATCTGGCTCCTTGAAAAAAATACTGAGAAAAATGGAGAGTTGTAGGAAAAGAGAGAGATAGCACTACATGTGAGTTGATTCAGGGTGCATTCACGCTGTAGTAGGACTGCATTTGACACCACCTTAACTGTCTCAGTGCCCTGGAATAATGGGAGATGTAGTTTTACAAGGTCTCTAGCTTTCTCTGTCAAAAGTATTGGTGCCTCACTAACCTGCAATGCCTGAGATTCCATAGAGACATCACATTAAAAGAATATTCTGACGTTTAGTATCACAAACTGCATGGGTGGATTGGAGGGAAATTGGAAACAATCTAGGTTTGCTTTGCTGATTTTCTATATCGGCTTGCTGTTTGAGGAGAAGAAAAAGAGTACAAGTAAACAGATCTGAGATTAGATCTCAGTCTGGTAAAACCTTCTGGCGGGACTAGTGGAGAAAAACCAGCTTGACAAGTTCTGCCTTTGCTCAGTAGTGTGCTACAAGGGATTGGAAAGACCTCAAGAATTGTGAGAATACTATGGAGATGCAGGATACAGATCTGTATTTGGGGACAATAGGATAAGAAAAGGGAGGTGGAAAAATCACATCTAGAAGCTGAGCTAAAGCATCCTACTTGGGTACAGGGCAGCACCCGCCCCCACCTTATAAGTTGATTCATATAATCATAGACTCAAAAAAGGTATGCAAGAGCAATTGAACAACCAAGGTATAGGTTTTTTGTGTGTGTCAGGAGCGACTTAAGAAACTGCAAGAATTGGCCATCTGCAAGGACGTTGCTCAAGGACGCCCAGATGTATGATGTTTTTCCAGGTTGTGGAAGGCTTCTCTCATGTCCCCTCATGTGGAGCTGACAGAGGGAGCTCTTACGCGCTCTCTCCAGATACGAACCTCCAACCTGTTGGTCTTCAGTCCTGCCATCACAAGGGTATAACCCATTGCACCACAGGGAAGGGATGAGGGCATGTCTCTCCCATGCAAAAGATTTGACCTCTCCACAGGTCAGAGGGTTCCCTGGGAGGGCAACTATCCATTTTTTTCCTGCACCCTTCCATAGCTACAAATTTGCTGAGCAAGAGTGCTAGTCTTCACATTATGAAGTCTTATATGACTTCAGGCCAGAGTGTTTGAAAGCCTGTGTCCCTACCATAGGAGCCTGTCTGAGTGTTATGATCTTCAGGTGAGGGCTTTTCCATGTCTAACTCAGATTGCTACAAACTGAGTTCAAAGTGCCAAAATGGTTTGTACTCAGCAGGAGGAGTGGAGAGGAGGATGTGGAATCTTTTACCAGCTGGGCAAAAGCAAAAGGGAGTAACCTCTTGTAGCTTGTGTCTTCTTCTTCACAAATAACTTTTGCCATTTTGAACATATTCTGTGGCTATACATATACCAATTTCCATTTGTGAGAAGTTGGCAAGCATGTGAATCCATGGAACTTAAATCAGTAGGTTTTGACTTACCAAAACTTGACTTATCAACTCTTGGTTCAATGGTTCTATTCTAGTTGAGAGTAACAAAGTGGATTTAGTTCACGGTAGGAATTGGGTAGCCCCCCTCCAATTGTTGGACATCAGTTCCCAGCAGACCTAGTAGCCAGCATAGCCAATGGTAAGAAATGTGGGGAATTGCTCTTCCACAAAAACATGGAAAGCCAGCCAATCCCCCCCAGGTTGATGTCATTTCCAATTGATCTTGAATTATTTCTGAATCCTGGTCCTTCTTTTTCTTAACATACATGCACATTTTCTACAATAGAAAGCTTGCTTTTCCTTACCAAGGACTTTTTCCTCTTATTAACAAGGAAGACATTGAATTGTTGAAGGCTTTCATGGCCGGAATCACTGGGTTGTTGTAGGTTTTTCCGGGCTATATGGCCATGTTCTGGAGGCAATTTTTCTCCTGACGTTTCGCCTGCATCTATGGCAAGCATCCTCAGCGGTAGTGAGGTCTGTTGGAAGTAGGAAAGGAAGACATTACACAAAGATGTGAAAATTTTACCCAAATGCTATCTCCTTATTAATTCAATCAAAATTGAAAATGTAAAAAAACACACTTTTTTCTTTCAAGTATGACAGAAAAGAAGAGGGACTGGGAAATATATGAGCCTTAGACCCACCTATGTTAATCCATATAATATAATGATAGAGGAGACCCCAGTGGCACAATAGGTAAAATCCTTGTGCTAGTAGGACTGCTGACCGAAAGGTAGGCGGTTCAAATCCAGGGAGCAGGGTGAGCTCCTGTCTGTCACCTCCAGCTTCTCATACGGGGGCATGAGAGAAGGCTCCCACAGGATGGTAAAACAGCCAGGCATCCCCTGAGCAACATCCTTGCAGACGGCCAATTCTCTCACATCAGAAGTGACTTGCAGTTTCTCAAGTCACTCCTGACACAGAAAACAAACTTCTCATTATAATGTTAAATTGTGTTTGGGTTTTTTCAGCCATTATGTTGCTACTTTTTATTTCTATTGTGAATGTTTGGTCCAAAATTGGTGCTCCAAAAGGTATGGTGGGAAAAATAATCTTAGAGCAAGATGCAGGATTATATAGGTCTCAGACAGAAAAACCTGAGGTTGTAAACCTTCTTCCAGTAAAAACAAACATGCAGCTTTGTCAAAACCTTAACTGTGGTCTAAAATGTTGTGCTAGTCTGAAACCCAATCTTATTTTGTCCAAAGGTCAGCAAGTAATACGTTTGCCAGAATTGGGAGCGAAAGGTCACATAGTTTCACCACACTGGGCCGTCTTCCGGTAGCAACACCAGAAACCGGCACTGGGAAGACAGAATTTCCAGTGGCATTGCAAGCTCAAAACAACTTCTTATACAGGATGATGACCTTTAGTGGCCTTTCCTAGCCAGGGACATGACAGACCTCAGCAAGAGCAGAGAACATTGCTAAGGGCAAGCAGAATCCTTATTCAAGTCAAACATAAAAACAACATGGACCCATTTTGTGCTGCTCTTTGTGTCATGTAGAACTCAGATTTGTTGGTAGAGAAGTACAAGTTGTTTTTCAGTGGAGATCTGTATAGATCCACAACATTTTGCAAGCCAGCATCCACAAATGCAGTCCACACATGGAGATAAACTATGCAAGCCCTACACAAACCCAATACCTAATAGGAAGTTCTTCCTAATGTTCAGGTGGAATCTCCTTTCCTGTAAATTGAACTCAGAGCAATGGGTTCAAATTACAAGAAAGGAGATTCCACCTGAACATTAGGTAGAACTTCCTGACCGTAAGAAGAGCTGTTCAACAGTGGAACTTTCTGCCTCCGAGTGTGGTGGAAGCTCCTTCCTTGGAATCTTTCAAACAGAGGCTGGATGGCCATCTGTCAAGGGTACTTTGATTGTGCTTTTCCTGCTTGGCAGGGGGTTGGACTAGATGGGGGTTGGCCCATGTGGTCTCTTCCAACTCTATTATTCTGTTCTATGATTCCAATAGAGATATTGCATGTCATTGCCTAAGTTCCATTTGACAATGCAGAATATACAATGGACAGCTTCAATGAACAATGCACGAGGCATGATCACAGTGTGAAATATATGATATACAACTGAAAGAAACAATGTGAAACAGCATGTAATGCAATCGTAACGCCCAGTGGAAAGACATGGCACAAAGAAACATTGTGTCTGCACTTTCCACTTCCACTATTAGCAGGAAAAATCTAATGAATAATAGTGTCTTTTTATCTCAGCATATTGAATGTGGCTCTCACATGCGTATGCCCTTATCTGAATGTATTATGTATTTAGCAACTTTCCTGCATCTATTCTACTTTCACTTTCTGACACATAAAGCTCTTTTCATACTAACATACACATTTACACTATTCATGGTCAGTATTCATAAATGTAGTTGTGTGGCATCTCAAATCATGTGTTTGGAGAAAGGTAGGTTATAAAATAAATAAACACTCTCTATTCAAAGCAGAAGGGGGCAAGTGAGACACATGGGCCATGTGAGGCTGCAGGCCTCCGAGATAAACCCCTTCCCATAAATCTTGGGCTGTCCAAGGTCATTTTTAAAAAGCAAGAAAATAGTCTAAACCATGGTAAAATGTCCTCAGATGTGCCAGTTTGTGATTATTTACTCCTCATAGCTCTTGCACTCTTAAAAGGAGGGGAGGGGGTTGTTTAAAATCTTGCCCAAAGTCCAATAAATTAAAATAGAAGTGATTTCTGGTCACTTATAGCTCCCCTGGATTTTGCATGGAGGCAGTACAGTAGAGTCTCACTTATCCGACATAAATGGGCCAGCAGAACATGGGATAAACAAAAATGTTAGATAATACCGAGTCTCCTATTGTTACCTGTCTGATGTGGCCTAGACACCTAGAACACTAACAATCCCACATGATTCACTAAATGCTCACAGTACTTGCCAGCAGAAAAGCAGATCTTCCTGTTATGTTACTTGAATGGGAAGTCTGATCTGGCCACGGTGGTCCATGCTCTTGTTACATCCCAAATAGACTACTGCAACGCGCCATACGTGGGGTTGCCCTTGAAGACTGTTCGGAAACTTCAACTAGTCAACGAGCGGCAGCCAGACTGCTCACCGGAGCGACATACAGGGAGCACACCACCCCACTGCAGTGTCAGCTCCACTGGCTGCCGGTTCAGTTCCGAGCACAATTCAAGGTGCTGGTTTTGACCTACAAAACCCTGTTCGGTTCTGGTCCAGTGTATCTGTCCGAATGTATCTCCCTCTACATCCCACCCCGGAGTCTGAGATCATCTGGGGAGGCCCTGCTCTCGACCCCACCACTGTCACAAGTGAGGCTGGTGGGGACGAGGAGCAGGGCTTTCTCAGTGGTGGCCCCCCACCTGTGGAACTCACTCCCGGGGGAAATCAGGGCATCATCATCCCTCCTCTCCTTCAGGAGGAGGGTGAAGACATGGTTATGGGATCAGGCCTTTGGGCAATCTGGCAATTAAATAAGACAATCAGGCGAGTAAGACCAACAAGACTGTTGTAGTGGAACTGAAAACTAGAACTATGAGTTAGCGAACGCTGACCATGCAAGAGGAGGAAATGGGTTTGTATTGGTTTTATTGATTTTATTGATTTTATTGGTATAATGCATGAACTGTTGTTGAATTGATGTAATTCTGTGTTCTGATTGTTCTGTACTGCAGGCATCAAATTGTGCCTTTGCTCCTGTAAGCCGCCCTGAGTCCCCTTCGGGGTGAGAAGGGCGGGGTAAAAGAACCCCTAATAAATAAATAAATAAATAAATAAATAAATAAATAAATTAGGTTACACATGGCCCACACATTTTCTTTGAACTCAATATCTTTTAGCTGTTACTCCTCCTAATACTCCTACTAATAATAGTAGTCATCTTTTATATGTTTCCCTTAATGTATATTTATCTTAACAGGCTACTTTTACCATTAAGTGGGAAATAGTATTTGAGCTGTTGTAGTTTCAGCCTGCCACATTGAGTTCTCAATATCCACTGGAATTGCACTGGAGGACCTGGATTCCTGGAGAGGTGTTCTCTTTAGAAATATCTAGGTCCTCCAGCATGACTGAATGAAGTTAACTTATAGAGTTACAGTAGAGGACAGAGATTTCTAGAGAGAAGATTTTTAATCAAACTCATAAAAGTCAAAATCACAAATGTGGGGGAACAACTGCATAATATTTCATAGATGTGATATCTGGCACTTGTCATCTTTGTGTTATGGATATATAGTAACCCAAACATGATCCAATTTCCCCAAGGAGGCAGCTTTCCTCAGCCTGGTTTTGTCCAGATGGCTATGCAGACAAGGATGATGGGAGCTGTAGGCCAACATATCGAGGCGGTAGAGCTAAAGAGGCTGCCGTTGAGCTACACACTGTCGCAACAGAGCCATAGATGTCTGTGAACAGTTTCGCTTCCGTTAACTGCAGTTACATGCCTTTCAGTTGTGGTTTGGTTGCTTGCATTGCAGCAATACTTATACAAAAGGACATCACCACACCTTGCAAGACAACCACCCAAGAAACAGAACATCTCTCTTGCACACACTGTTTTCAAAACATCACTTAAAAGGCTCCTACCAATTGCACCAAAAGTAAATTGCACACAGAAAGTAAAAACAAAAATACAGTACACAGTTATCTTTGTGGATAGTTAGGAAAAAACCTTGTTCGATCAAGACACGGGTCTGTCTCATGCAGCATTGTGCTCCCATGTGTAATGCAATTTCTGGAAAAAATACTCTGTTCTGTAGGTCTTAAAGATTCCTATTCAAGGTAGATTTGCTAACAATTATGTTCACTCACAAAATGTCCCATTAGACATTTTGCTTTCTTATCATTATTATTAATATAACTATTGAGAGCCACATACAGACATTACAAAAAGCTTGGAGCTGTTGTTGCTTCATGTCTCGAATTCTAGTAATGTCTAGTTGCACAGGCTCTGGTGGATATCAACACACTGTTTTTTGCTTCTTACATTCACCTCATGTAATTGGTTGTCACAACACAACAATAAATTGCCTTGTGTGATGATATCATCTCACACTTGATGATATACCGGATATTCCTAGGAAGTGGGGAGAAAGTGAAACAGACCATCTGGCAACAGCTTTGTTTAAAAAAACTCATTCTGCCCTAGAGTACAGTAGGAAAATCAGGAATGCTGCCAGAGTAAAGAAGGAAGCTGTTGATCTAGTTAAAACAACAATCTCTAGAACATGTTCAAATTTGGCACCTTCAATTTTGGTTTGATTGTGTGATTCTAAGACTCTTTTAAAATGAAACCAGAGACATTTATTCTTCTCTTTCTCCCCTGCTGTCTCCTCGCACTTCCATTTCCCATTCTCTCTCCATGTATTTTCCTCCCTTTGAATCTTTCATTCTTTGGTATGTGTCCTTCTGTCCTTTTCTAAACAACAACAAATGTTTTATCATCTTAAGGCAATCCAGTAATGATGAGTCGTGTCTGATCCAGATGAAAACAAACAGCAGAACTGTTCTTAAAAGATGCTTCCAAACATTAGACACATCTTCTAACACTGAGCTTCTGTTGTATATCTTTTCCTTCAAATCAGGAAATGTTAAAATGCAGCAAAAATTCAGAAGGCACTGCTGAACTGGAAGAAGCTCTAGCCACGGTGCTTGATATCATCAAGTCTGCTAATGACTCAATGCACCAGATAGCTATTACAGGTTATGAGGTAGGTGTCATTGAGTGTTATATCAACTGGTGGTTTTCAGACCCAAATGTTACTTGGAATCTTGTTGGTTCTCTTTCTTACTATTATTATTATTATTATTATTATTATTTTATTTATTTTACATCACTTATATCCCGCCCATATCAGCCCGCAGGCGACTCAGGGCGGTCTACATATCGGCACAATTCGATGCCATCAATACAATACAAAAGCAAAAACAATTAAGTGCATTTAGACAAAAAAGACAGTGCAATAACAATTTAAAAAGAGCTATATCCTCTCATTCCAATCCTCGTCCATTTCATCGTCTTGGCCGTTCCTGGGTCATTCTCCATCTCAAGCTTGACTATCTATTCCGGGGTTCCGAATGCCTGCTCGAAGAGCCAGGTTTTCACTCTCTTATGAAAGGTCAGGAGGGAGGGGGCTGATCTAATATCCCTAGGCAGGGAGTTCCACAGCCGAGGGGCCACCACAGAGAAGGCCCTGTCTCTCGTCCCCGCCAAGCGTGCTTGCGAAGCAGACGGGATCGAGAGCAGGGCCTCCTCAGATGATCTTAACTTCCTGGTGGGTTCGTAGGAAGAGATGCGTACTAGGTAACAAATGATCTAATTTGGGAACAGAAGTCCTACTGACCTTGTGAAAAACCAGCAAAAAAGTTTGTGTTCTCTTTCGGACATAGAAAAAAAGGAAAGTGCTCTTTTGCAATAACAAACTCAATGGTATGGTCTTTAAGATGAGTGCTGGAGATGACACAGCTTTTCCCTTGAATATATACTCCTGTGTGGGTATTGCAAAATGCCAATTCATGGGGAAGAGGAAGAGAACAAAAGCAGAGAAATTGGAAGGCAACTGCCGTCTGAGCATTTGTGCCTCAGATGACTTGTATGGGCAGGGCAAGGAGGACAGAGGCAGCTTATATGAAAGAAAAAAGTAAAGTATATGAAAGAAATGTGCTCAAAAAATCAAAGCAAATGAGCTAGATCCTAGTGAAGACTATGAATCGATAAAGGCTATTTAAGGTAGAACAGATATGGAAAAATGCTCTTCCACAATAGCTTTTAAAAATGTAACAGAACTCTGCATTCCTTTTTGATGTCTCTAGTTCAGGGCAACCTTTTTTTTTTAAATTAAAAGTTCAGGTAGTCCTCAAGTTACATACAAGATAGGTTCTGAAATCTTGTTCTTAAATTGTATTTATATGTAAGTTGGAACAGGTACATTTTAAAGTGTAACTTGAGCCATATATATATATAAGTTTTGGATAGCATGTGGAAGAGTTAAAACTCCAGCGGCATTTGTGTTGTCAAAGGCTTTCATGGCTGGAATCACTGGATTTTTGTGTTCTGGGCTGTTCCAGAAGCATTCTCTCCTGACGTTTTTCCCAGGCATCCTCAGAGGTTGAGTGGCATTTGTTTTGTTGCCTGTGCCTCTCTTTAGAAGATTTCACCTTATTTACTGTGCCTGTGATAATTGGATTTTGAAAAATGTGGCTTGTTGTGGAAACCAAGATTGGTCATAAAGCTTCACTTGAGACACCTTTTCCCCATACTATTTTTCAGGAGTAAACTTCCCCTCCAAGGGGTGGATTCCTCTCACTTCCTGTTGTCTCACCCATTTTTAGCGATGAGTCATATGTACATCTACAACTCAGGGACTGTCTATAAGTTGATCAATTTGATGACATTGTTGTCCTATGTCAGGTCAACATTCTACTGATGCAATATGACAAAAAACAGGAAGGAACTACTGGTTAGGAGACCTGACTATAAATAGCAAAGTTTATTGCAACATATTGAAGACTTAGGGGCCTTCCACACAGCCATATAACCCAGGATACCAAGGCAGAAAATCTTTGAGGCACTATAAACTCTTCAGGGACATGGGTGAAGCTCATTAAGCTACTCCTCATAGGACTTCAATTCCAGACCTTTTACCATTTTGGTCTCCCTTCCCTGGACACGTTCCAGCTGTTAATATCTTTCTTGAATAATGGTGCCCCAAACTGGAGACAGTATAACAGGATGGAAGAAGATGGAATAATTAATCTCTGCCCATTGCGTAGACAGCCTCACCCATTTCAGCATTCCCTGAAGCACATCAACGAAATGGTTCCAGCTTTCCTCACTCAGATCCTGTCTTGAGGCATCTAGACCAGAAATCCTTTGGACAGTAGCTCCCAGAATCCTTGGTCATGCTGCCTGAGTGGTTGCAGGAGGGGTGTAGTTTAAAAAAGCAACTGATTTCAATCTCCACAATATTGATAACAGATTAAAAAATCTTCATAGAACAATAGAATCAAGGAGTTATGCTTGCCCCATCTGGCATAAATCTGCCCATGTGAAGCAGGTGAATATAGCACTGAATGAAACATGTAGAATAATCACAGGATGTCTCAAACCTACACCTGTTGATAGACTTTATAAGCTAGCTGGCATTGCCCCCCCCCCCCCATGTTTGACGGGAAGTTGCTGCCAATTGTGAGAGAAATAAGATTCAATGTATTGTCGAAGGCTTTCATGGCCGGAATCACTGGGTTGCTGTAGGTTTTTTCGGGCTGTATGGCCATGTTCTAGAGGCATTCTCTCCTGACGTTTCGCCTGCATCTATAGCAAGCATCCTCAGAGGTTGTGACCTCACAACCTCTGAGGATGCTTGCCATAGATGCAGGCGAAACATCAGGAGAGAATGCCTCTAGAACATGGCCATATAGCCTGAAAAACCTACAAAAACCCAGAAATATGCCATCCACTGCATGGCGATCAGCCTCCTCCCAGTAGACTCAAATTAAGGAAAGGTTTAATGAGAACCACCACTCCTCTTAATGTTTCTCCAGCAACAGCAAGAATATCCCTGTGGGCAGCAAAATCAGGCACTTCCAACTGGATGGTTCCCCCCAAGGGTCTGCCTCCAGGGGCAAACCAAAAATGGGCAACTTGGAAGTCCCTCAACAGACTCAGAAGTGGAGTGGGCAGATCAAAAGACAGCCTAGCAAAATGGCACTACCTAGAAGAATCCTCCACCTTGTGCGATTGAGGAACAGAACAAACAACTGAGCATCTGTATGCTTGCCCACGATGCCCTACCTCATGCACAGAGGAAGAACTGTTTAAAGATACAGACAATGCGGTTGCAATTGCCTGTTTTTGGTCTAAAATCATTTAGTTGCTTGTGCTTCGTTTAATGTCAAAAGCATTGCATATATAAATAAGTATAAAATTTTATCAGTTTTATACTTATTTATATATGCAATGCTTTTGACATGAAATAAAAATTAAGGCATTGAAAGAAACCAAAAGGGCTATTCAGTTCAATTCCCTCCCATGTTATCTATTATTTTATATTTTAACAGATAATACTGATATTAGATTACAGAAATGCTGATGACAGTGCTGAAAGAAGATGTGGGGTTTTCATAAACAAACCATTACAGTTGTATGTGTGTGTGTGTGTGTGTTTGCTTTTTTTTTTTTGGCACCCTGACTACTTCTTTGAAAAATGGCAACTAAATATTAACACTGAGTAAATAATTGCATCTAAAATTCACAGGAAGAAATAGGGCAATGAGGTTGAGAAATTTTCTTCATGCTTTCTCATCTTCTCTTGTGTTTTTCTACAGGGAGATGTGCATGAACTTGGTAAATTACTCCTGCAGGGGTCCTTTAATGTTTGGACAGACCACAAGAAGGGACACAATAAAGTAAAAGATTTAGCTAGGTTTAAGCCAATGCAGAGACATCTCTTCCTTTACGCAAAAATCTTACTGTTTTGCAAGAAGCGGGAAGAAAATACAGATGGCCATGAGAAGTCTCCTTCATACAGCTTTAAAAATTCTTTGAAGGTAAGTGCTTAGTTGTAGTGGAAGAGAAGGGAGCAGAATTCTGTGGGCCATCAACAAAAATATGGACCAGCTGCCGAAATACCATTGTAAAGAAAGTGGAATAAACTTGCCCTGCCTTCTCCTTGGAGAAGGTTGCAAGTGGAAAATTATTTTTCCTTTGCATGAGGACACCTGAAATTTAGATTTGGTGTTATCATTAAATGGAGCATAATGAAAAGATGGCTGCAACAGGAAGCAAAATTGTTGGTCCTTTCTCCAGTCCCAAGCACACAAACCCTTCTCCATTGCCATGCATATAATCCACTGGGTTGCTTTCAGTTCAGCTAAATGTATTACTTTCTGTCTCTATTCAACATTCTCTCTCTCTCTTTCTCTCTTGATCTGTAAATTTTCTACAACTTACTATCACTTCTACTAGTCCTAATCTTTGTCACATTCTAAAGGCAGGGAAAGGAATTCAAGGATTGATAACCTCTGGCCCAAGGGGTCAGTAATTGTGCAGTTTTTATCAATTGCTTTTAAGAGGAATGTTTATAGGCATTTTCGCAGGAATTTCTTATAGTCCGTGCAAGCTTCTTATCAATGTTAAGGTAATTGCTCTCAAAAGTGACAGGAAGCAATAGAAAGGAAGAAACAGTGAAGCTTTCCATTCCTGGTCTAGAGCTTTAAGTCCTTTAGGAAGTTTAACATCCTCTACCAAGCTTTCATTTGCCTGCCAGTCAAAAAAACAAGTATATTATATGCTCATTAGTGCTAATCCATCCAGGAAAATTGATAGCTCCTTGTTATTATGTTTGGGTATGCTGTCCTGGGTTATTTAGATATGCATTTGAAGAACTTCTTAGAAGCTGTAGAAATACAAAAGGTGTTTTCCTTCCCTGTCAGTTGAAGCGCAACAGATCAACTGGACTTGCCTCTCCGTCTCCAAGGAGAAACACCTTGGAGACGGAGAGGCAAGTCCACTTGATCTGCTTCTCTTCAACTGACAGGGAAAGAAAACACCTTTTGTATATCTCCAGCTTTTAAGTAGTTTGTCAAATGCATATCTAAATAACCCAGGACAGCATACCCAAACATGCCACCACTTGATCAAGAATTTCAGGAATGTTCATTCATAACCCCAGCTGAGATGTCCAGAATATGCTTCTCTTGAGAGAAGAGAAGTGGGTCTTCTGCCTCCCAAATATGTAGAATTATTTGAGGAGCAAATGTAAAATCTGGTGTTGTTAGTTTCTATATCAACAGAAAGCGAATTTGTGGTAGAACAGTAAAGAGCTGGACAAAATAAAATACTGCTTCAGTCTTTGTTTAAAAGAACAGTGTGGGAATTAATTGGTGAAAAATTGAGCGTCGCTTGGGGCCTGTTCCCTCTTCATTGGTCTGAAGAACTGGTTTGGCAACTCATTCCACATATGGCCAGAATGATGTGCTCAAATTGGAGCCTGAAAGTCTATAAAAATCTTTGATCATCCTCGCCTGGTGCCTGGATTGTTAGCAGCTGCCAGCCCCAGCTGCTGTTGGATCAGCTGGTCCTTTCTCCATTGCTCAGCCCATTAGCCAAGGACAGATGACTCTGTTTCTCTGGAGACTTCCTGACCTTTGGCTCCTAGCACAGGAACATCTAAGAGATCTGAGCCTTATGTGTTTGGCTTTCCAGCCAGCAACTGAAATCAGGAAATGTGGCATGATGGCTTGTATGGCCTTCATGCCTCTATTCTTGCCCTAAATAAACATGGGGCCATATTCTCAGCCCTGCCTACTTCTTAGAATCATAGAGACCCCAAAGGGCCAACCAGTCCAACCCCCTGCCATGCAAAAACACACAGTCCAAGAACTCCTGACAGATGGCCATCCAACCTCTGCTTTAAATCCTCCAGAGAAGGAGACACTATCAAACTCCAAGGCAGCAGATTCCACCATTGAACAACTCTTACAGTTAGGAAGTTTTTCCTAATGTTTAGATTCTGTTTGAATCCATTGCTCCATTGTGAACCCATTTCCAGAGCAGCAGAAAACAAGCTTGCTTTCTCCTCAGTGTGGCATCCATTTACATATATGACTATCATGTTCTCCCTAAACCTTCTCTTTTCCAAGCAAAACATACCTAGCTCCCTAAGCTTCTTCTCATAAGGTTTGGCTTCCAGACCTTTGATCATTTTGGTCATCCTTCTCTGGGTCATTCCAGCTTGTCAATATCCTTCTTGAATTATGGTACTGCTCAGAACACAGTATTCCAGGTGATATTCCAGAGAGGGGCTATTTGTTTCCTTGATCTAGACCAGTGGTTCTCCAGGTGTTTTGGCCTACAACTCCCAGCTGTTAGGATTTCTGGGAGTTGAAGGCCAAAACATTTGGGGACCCACAGGTTGAGAACCACCCAACTGTACTCCTATTGATGCAGCGTAGAATCACCAACCTTTCTCTGATTACCACTCAGCTTTTCTTGTTCCTAGGGCCTGTGGTGTATTTCTCCAATGTAAGCTGATCCTTTATTTTCCCAACAAATATGTAAACAGCTAAGCCATCGATGAGATATGAGATGTTCTCAAACAGAACACAGTCTGTTTATAATACAAAGAGTCTGATTCCCATGTCAACTGGCTTGGGCAGAACTTGGAGAAATTGCATGCTGACTTCAGAATTCTGGGAGTTGCAATCCAAAATAAAAATTTCAAGTTATTGCTGAAGGCTGAAAATTTGTCCTATAATGAAATTGCTGTGAGTTGTGATGTTTTCATGGAAACTAAAATTAACGGGAATGTACAAGTAAAATGTCATGATACAAGATTCTCTTTTAAACAGATGAGCACGGTTGGTATTACGGAAAACGTCAAAGGTGACAATAAGAAATTTGAGGTCTGGTACAACGGGAGAGAAGAGGTCTATATTATTCAGGTATCAAAAGTCATATTTTTTGACATTTTCAGCTGTCCCTCCAAATCTGTCCCAATAGTCTTCTCGATACTATTGAATTTTTAAAATTGAATCAGAAGCAACATGAGAAACTGCAAGTCCCTTCTGGTGCAAGAGAATTGGCCGTCTGCAGAGACATTGCCCAGATGTGTTACCATCCTGTGGGAGGCTTCTGTGATGTTCCCATGTGAGAAGGTGGAGGTGACAGATGGGAGCTCGCCCTGTCTCATGGATTCGAACCGCCAACCTTCAGGTCAGTAGTTCAGCGGGCACAGTGGCTGAACTACTGACCTGAAGCACACCCATTGCACCACCACGGCTTAATTTGTCATCATAGCTGATGGATGACAGAAGTAGGTGAAAGAGTCACTTATTGGGGAATTATATTTTGTTTCCTTCCATTTCTAAGACAAAGGAGCATGGAGTGACAATGTTGTACTTCCTCATTCAGAGCTTGTAATAGCTACTCATGATTTTGGCAGACAAGCTGTTTGGACAACCTAATACATTTTGTGTCTTGAGACTAAGCAAATGGTTCCAACTCAACTAAAACCAGGAAAATTATTTTGACCCATTTGGCAGACAATCCCATAAGCATATTGTCCTCTTCCTAGCAATAAAAATGAAATACTGGAAGATTAAGTAATCAAACAATTTTCTTCCTGATAATGGTACCAAAAATCTGCTGCTCAAGTCATTTAATTTTGTCTAATGGTAAGTCCAGCCCTGCAAGCTACTTTTTCTCTTATGGTGGGACAAAATGTTCCTCTTGCATAATAAGCAATGATGCAGATGTTTGCAGGAGGGAAGCAGCAGGTGGAAAAACAAATGCGTAACTGTCCTCTAGCTGCAGCATCCTATTACCCACCCAACCCACACACACACACCCAACCACATACCCAGTTGCTTTTCCCTTGCTGGAGTTTCATGTTTGTGATAGAAGAATCAGCAAATCCACGGCACTGTAGGGCATGCAAAATAGTTCACATGTATTGCCATTACATACAGTTAAATGTCTTTGACAAGTGTCCATTTTTAAAATTTGTTTAAACAAGATTGGTGAACTGGTAGGGGCCTTGAGGGGGGTTCACACAACCCATCATCACAGGAAGAATGGATTTGTGCCCTAAATTGAGCTGGCTAGCAGTTGTGGGCCTCCATATTATTTTAGGTACATTTGAAGGTGGGGAGAAGTCGCTTCCTCCTTTTTTTTTAAGGCCCTGGACGTAACTAAAAGGATCCATGTGGCATTTTGGAACACAAAAGAAATTAAAAAAGGCTTTTTTACCCAATGGGGCACTATACTTTGTCTCCATGTTAAAGTAGGACTCTGTTCTGCTATACTTTATCTTAGACATTGAGGAACAGTGCCTTCCCAGAATCCTCCCACATGTCATTTCTACTAGCCATGCTGGCTGAGGGATACTGGGAGTTGTAGTCCTCGAATGTAAGCTAGGATGAGAAATGAGATATGTTAGACATCTCAGGTCTATAATTGCAGGAACAATGTCATCTGGTGTCCCCATTGTCAGAGGAATGGTGAATCTTATTTGGACTTGCATGTAAAATTTTAAATGAGCTGTCCATGGCACCATGCCTTCTTCCCAGAATGGATCCAGCACCTTGGATAGTGCCTTTATTGCTTCCGCTGTTTGTTGGAGTGGCTGCATTGATCTCCAGACTTGGCAGCTATGAGCTGCTAATTTTCAGGAATACCGTCATAGGTCAGACTGGCTGGATATTTTCCATTTGTCCTATTTTTTCTAGGCTGCATCTGTGGAGTTGAAGAACACGTGGGTCTCTGAAATCAGAAAAGTCCTAACAGGACAACTGGAAGCTTGCAGAGGTAAGATACCAAGCAGTGGGAACTGGTTGGTGTAGATGTAAGCCATAGCCACAGTCCCATCCTCTGAGAGTAAATTTCAGAGTGATGCTGACAGCCTATCCTTTAAGATTTTGGTATATCTATGAGTATACCTATGAATATAAAATCCAAACATATACAGTGAGTCCATATTTGACTTTTGCGGATTTAGTTACTAATGTGTTTGATTAAATATTCTCAAGGAATCTCTAGATCCTTCAGTACAATTTTATGGTCAATTTCTGTTAGAAGCTGATCATAGAAATTCCAGGATAGAACACCTGCGCAATTCTGTGGTCAACTTCCAGCAGACATTCACCACAGAGTCACCCTGGAAGTCCTAGAAAATAATAAAAAGGTATTATTTGATGTCAAAAACAGCATCTTTTAAAATATTTGGATTTTCATTTTTCTGTTCCCCTAACCCCAGCGAATGCGGAGGGCTGATTGTAAATCAATTTTGCACAACAGCTTCCTGGATAAAATGCAGCAATCACCATCATATTCTAGGAAGACCTCACATAAACCTATTACATGCACAGGCTAGCATCCTCTCTTTCTGTTCCCATCGGGGAGAGTGAGAGAGCAGCATCCGCCCATTATTGTGCTAGTTTTCCCATATTGCCCTGGAGAAAAATCAGCAAAATATCTCACCCAGACTGTTGGATTGGTACTAAATGCAACCATCAGACTTCAAAAGTGGGAAAACATATTTGGCTACTGAGCACATACCTGTACCACCAGGGGCACAAAACAACAACATTTGACCTTGCATGTTGAAGATGAACATGAGATAAAAAGGTCAGGTTTTTATTCTGTTCCATCAAGTAGTAGCAACCATGAAGTGGGAGTGGAAGGTTAAAACATATTTTCCTTTCTATTTTGATAATTACATCTTCCTTAATCGAGTGCTGGGATTTTCCCCACAGGTACATTGCTTTTCTCAAAGAGTAAGGCATCCTTTTAAGGAGACAAGAGATTTCTTGCAGTCTGTATCTCCAGAGTCTGTATCTCCAGAGGCATGCCCATCTCTCCCCTGTGTAGATCAGCCTTCTCCTAACTTATGTGTTGAATCCACATTATCCTCTACCAGAACTGTTGTGAGAAGAGAGCCACTGATGGGAAATGTAGTTCATCACATCTAGAGGGTGCTGTGTTGTGGAAAGTTGATTCAACAATGAAGTTCTACAGATTATGATGGTTTCTAATCTCCATGATCATTAGCAATGCTTGCTTAGCACAAATGGAGACCCAACCTAATCTGGACAACCAAAGGTCCCCCAACCCTTGTGTAGATTATGTGACAAGACTCAACATATACACTTACTGTGCCTATAATATTCTGCTTCATCAGGTAGAATATGCACAAATGTATATTGAATTTCAGCATACATAAAAGAAACTTTCATAGCTTTTTACCTACTTGGTCAGGAGACCTCGGTGGCACAATGGGTTAAACCCTTGTGCTGGCAGGACTGAAGACCGACAGGTCGAAGGTTCGAATCCAGGGAGAGCACAGATGAGCTCCCTCTGTCAGCTCCAGCTCCCCATGTGGGGACATGAGAGAAGCCTCCCACAAGGATAGTAAAACATCAAAACATCCGGGTGTCCTCTGGGCGACATCCTTGCAAATGGCCAATTCTCTCACACCAGAAGCGACTTATAGTTTTTCAAGTTGCTCCTGACACACACACAAAGGTTAAACACACCCAGTCAGCTGGACATGAATTGGAGTTGGTAATTGAATTTGTTAGGTTACTTTTTTATTTTAAAACCATTATTTCAATTAAAAAAATAACATGGCATTGCTGTTAAGGATGATAATGCTGATCTGAAAGGGGAAATTAAAATATGAGTTATATATATATATATATGCTTTGACATCTGTAGATTTAAGAAAAACACGCTGATTAAGTCTCTTGATGATCCAGAGGGGATATGGATTTGATAACTTCTAAACCAGAGTCTGTATGCAAAGTCACAACTAATGCTGGACTCAAAGACAATCATTTTCCCCTCCTTACATATCCACAGAGCACTGCAATCATCTGGTGATTGGAATTAAGGCCATCAGTCACCATGATAATCTTCTGATGGACAGCTCAGTCAGTAAGATAGATACTGATTGAGAAATCAGTAAACAAACCCCAACCTTCCCAGTATCTGGTTGTTGTTTTGCATTGGTTTAACAAATCTCCACCAGTCACTACACACCCCAGATTAGTTCCGAGCACCTCTTTTCAAGTGATCGTAGTTATATCCATGCAAGTAGAAGGAAACGTTCACAAATGCTGTATTTTCCTGTTTTCTTTCACAGAAGCAAGCCAGCTGCACCAAAGAATCACTGAGAGTGTGTATCATGCACCAATGAATACCTTCAATTCCTCCAGGTAAAGGGTTAAACATCTGCGATACCAGGCATGAGCAAACTTGGGCCTCCAGGTGTTGTGGATTTCGACTCCCAGAATACCTAACAGCCTCAGGCCTCTTCCAGCTTAAGCAGCTGAGGGAGGAAAGGAAAGGGCCTGAGGCTGTTAAGAATCGTGGGAGTTGAAGTCCAAAACACCTGGTGGGCCCAAGTTTGCCTATGCCTGCACTATACTGCACATTGCTGTCTGAAGAAGAAGAGTACAGTAGGCACCTGTATCTGTGGTCCCGATATCTGCAATTTCATTTATTCAACAAAATAGATTCTCAGGCACAACTCCATGGTATTCTTGGGTCAGAAATCCTTAATTTCAATAGAATTCACTATTACCAATGATTTTGTAATAAAATCTGGGGACATATCACCCGCCCTCATCACCTGTGGATACACGGGTCATATTGCATAATGCAATCTGCTTTTCCCGAAAGACGTAGCTATATTAGATTAGAAATTGTACACTGAGCAAGGCTACTTTGGCTCTGACTATGTTTCACACATAGAAGCTAACAATAAATATATTATTATTTATATAATTAATAAATTAAATAAATAATAAAGCCAATTAATGTCTTGGAAGTTAGAAAGGTGTTTTCTTCTAGGTTAAGTCTATTAGTGTGAGATGGTTGTTACTGCTTCTCTTTAGCATTTAGTTAGATATGAAACTTTTCCTTCTATTGTGAAGACAGGAGTATTTGCTCTGGACTACTTCTGTCTCCCGTTTTTTGGCTAATTGCTCAAAGGGGCAGCTGAACTCAGTAAATGAAATGAAATGTCTTTCATGTTTATTTATGACTTTGGGAACATAGGCACAGAGTAAAATATGCCTAGGCCTCTGAACTATGTCAAGTTTACAATATTCCACAACATGACCTAAGTAGTGCACAGAAAAAGACCTGTTATTCTGATGGCCCAAAAAAACAAACATTGCTGAATGTTTTCAAAGTTGATATGTATAAGTTCCCTTATTATTGGAATGAAGCAAACATGTTGAAGTACCTACAACCCTTATACTAAGTTCCCCACCAATGTCCCTGTAAAATAGATTAAAATAGCATTTTTGGAGTAGAAATCTCTGATGCTTATTAATTTGCCCTGCACTTTCAGTAAATCAACCAAAGTGTATATATGATGTCTGGTTACAATTGGTTCATAAATGTGCATTCCATAAGAAAAAATAAATCTAGATATTGAAAGTGTTTGTTTAGAGCAGGGGTCCTCAAACTTTTTAAACAGAGGGCCAGGTCACAGTCCCTCAAACTGTTGGAGGGCCGGATTATAATTTGGAAAAAAAACCATGAATGAATTCCTATTCACACTGTACATATCTTATTTGTAGTACAAAATCCACTTAAAAACAATACAATAATGAAGAACAATTTAGCAAATGTAAACTTATTAGTATTTCAATGGGAAGTGTGGGCCTACTTTTGGCTGATGAGATAGGATTGTTGTTGTTCTTGTTTTGTGCCTTCAAGTCGTTTCAGACTTAGCAAGGGCCGGGTAAATGACCTTGGAGGGCCACATCTGGACCCCGGGCGTTAGTTTTAGGACCCCTGGTTTAGAGTGTAACTGAATTAGTTGAAGGAGAAGATCCAAAAATCTTACTATGATGTGTTTGTTGTACACAGTGCACTAAGTTTGGTGGCTATGAACAAGGATTTAGATTTCTATAGCATGATAAACAAATCCTTTTCATTAGAATTTAGATTTAAAGATACCTCATAACCTAGGGTCTTAAACTCTAGCTTGTGAACAAGTCCTGCACTACTTATCAGTGACTGTTGAGCTACCTCTCAATCGTTTTCTAGAAAAATTGTGCTGTTACTTATCTGGATAAACAAGACCAGAATTAAAGTGAGTAAATAGAAGCAGCATCTTATGATCTAGTGACTCAGTCTTAAAGATTGCTCTTAACTTAGAATCTAGGGCCACGTTTCCAAAGCAAAGCCTGACGCTGCATCAAAGAGTTGGAAGAGACCTCATGGGCCATCCAATCCAAATCCCTGCCAAGAAGCAGGAATATTTCATTCAAATCACCCCTGACAGATGGCCATCCAGCCTCTGTTTAAAAGCTTCCAAAGAAGGAGCCTCCACCACACTCCGGGGCAGAGAGTTCCACTGCTGAACAGCTCTCACAGTCAGGAAGTTCTTCCTCATGTTCAGATGGAATCTCCTCTCTTGTAGTTTGAAGCCATTGTTCCGCGTCCTAGTCTCCAAGGAAGCAGAAAACAAGCTTGCTCCCTCCTCCCTGTGGCTTATTTATTTATTTATTTATTTACTGCAGTTGTAGACCGCCGTTCTCAGCCCTAGGGCGACTCACGGCTTCCTCTCACATATTTATACATGGCTATCATATCTCCTCTCAGCCTTTGTTTAACACATGTATCTCCTCCAAATTATCTTTAGCCCCTCGCTGTGCAGTTTTAGTGTCAAAAACTGTAATTTGACAAGAAGTTTTTGAAGTTGAGTGACATTGTAATGATGAATTGGGGATGCCCTGCCTGTGGCAACAGATAGCTTTCATACTCCTCTGATACCCACCTAAAACAATTGTTTGATTCTTTTTTTTATCTCTAAAGGTACAGCAGAAAGTCGATGAGTTTGTGCGAAAATAAATCGGAGTTCTTAAGCCTGGAAGTGTCTAACAACCGAGACCAGAATATCAGCCCCAGTGCCAGACAAAAAAGAGGTAGGCTGGGTGGGAAAATGTGCCACAAACCAAGCATGGAGGGCACCACTTGGACATGGCTTCTCTTGGTTGACCACCTGCAGTTTTTCTATTCCCATCCACAAATGGGAAATACCTTCCAGATCTAGACTCATCAAATACAGGCTCCAAAGCGATCGAGGTCAGAAAAGTTATTTTTTTAGATGACGGGAATGTCACAGCCAGGATATCCATGTTGAGAGTTGCCACCCAAAAAAGTCACTTTTCCAAGCTCCATAAAATGGTAACACAGAACTATAAGATCTTGCTGATAGACTTTGTAGATATATGTGTTACAGACCACACATGGAGATTTCTAGAAGAAAAACCTTATACTTTGTGACTTATCCTTACCCTAGCTGTGATGCATAGTTCTAGATGCCATTTCCTGCAGTTGGCTCACAAACTGGCCATCCATTGATATCCCTTGACTTGATTACTCTGTTTGTTGGGGCTCATTGTCACAGATGTTTTTGTTTTTTCATTTGAATACCAAGTAAAGAGTTCTGTTTCAATTATCGCTTGATTGATTAACCGCAGAGGTAGGGCTCCAGTATCAGATCTCATGCAACCTTGCTACTTGAAGTCCTGATGTGATAAAATTGTGGGATTGTATCTGATGTTTTTTGAAGGCAAAGCAATGTGCTCTGTCACAGAGCTATCTATCCCCATTTGGGTATTCTTTCATCTCACAGCAATTGGGCCTTACACAAGGCTACTGTGAATATGGAAAATGTGACGGAACATGAGTTAGTCAGAGTACTCATGGTGTGTATTGTCTGTGTACTATCTTCTTATTGATAGGAACAAAGGGGATTAATTCCTTTTTTGTTTTGCTGGGAAGCCAAGCAGGACAATCAGGAGGAGAAGGGATTCTAGATTGCAGTGGGATTTCCTTCATGCAGCCCTTGACATGCAATGGGAGAGCAAGCCATGCTGAAAGGGACTCTTTCAGTACAGAGTCATGCATAGTAGTCTTTATGCATGGAGAAAATGGAAATGCCCATCAGGACTTGTCCAGGCAGGATAAGAAGCAATTAGTTTTTGCAAGACCCTTGCAGTGGTTCTCAACCTGGGGTCCCCAGATGTTTTTGGCCTTCAACTCCCAGAAATCCTAACAGCTGGTAAACTGGCTGGGATTTCTGGGAGTTGTAGGCCAAAAACATCTGGGGACCCCAGGTTGAGAACCACTGCTAGTGGTTCTTCAGAATTTTAGCTTGATGGTCATATAATAATGTCCTTTTACCAGGAGATGCCAGGAGATTAAAACATAATAGTGCATACCTTCAGCAGCTAGTTTACACGGTGGTGAGCCCTTAAAAGGCAAGTTGCTTCCCCTTCAGCAGTTACTGATATTCAAACATATCTTATGCTGCAGTTGATTCACGATGAACCAGCCACGATGGCAATTAAAAATGTGTGAATTCCCCATTCATCCCTCCTCCACTCTCATGAAGGACATGAAGTGTGGTTCCGTTGAGCTAAAATATTCTGTTCTTGGGAGGTTTGGAAAACAAGAGTGCTCTTGCCTTCGGGTTTTTCACATCCTGGGGCTATACATCACGCATTTGGGAAAACAGCCATTTCCGTTATTTGAGGTTTGCAAAGGCCTGCCAAGCAGCATAGTTCACACATCTGAAATGGCAGCATGGCAAGAAAGACAGACACTCCCACAGTCCTTCTTACACTCCCAGCAATTGTGTAGTGCCTCTTGTGCCCCATCTACTGGTTGATTTGCACTACTTTTGTGATGTTCCAGCAAACCCTTGGTTTTCATTTTTCCTGGATGACTGCGGATGTAATTTCAATTAGTGCCCAGGGTTCTCATTCATTTTGTAGCAATTGACCCATTAAAGTCAAGAGACACAAACCCTGTCCAGGAGTGATGCAGTCTGCATCAGTATTGCGATGACTAAGTGGTGTTTTGCTTTGTTTTAAAAATAAAGAATAAGTTGTCCTGTACCAGATCTAAAGGGTAAATCACCCTGAATAACAATTATGCTAGATATGACCCATTTCTTGCTCAGAAAGACAAGCAAGAGTGGTAAATACTTTATTTATTGCTTAGTATTTGAGCATTTTTATAGAATTGTACAGCTAGGGAAGGGGCATGAAGATTTAACTGGCGGAGAGGGGGGGTCTCATATTGGGAGAAATACATATGGAAGAGAAAGGGAGGTTTTTGATTTGCCAGCATTAAAAGGAAAATACCGTAGCACCATTAGTTGAGGTGGGGGTTTGTTTCTTTGTACAATGGTGTTGTTAACAGACATAAATAGCTATCAACCCTATTTTTAAAAACCCTTGGTTTTGGCATGTTTTCATAGTACTTGGACCAAATGAATTATTTGTAAAGTGACTTAGGAATAGAACAGGGGTATATTTATGCTGCACAGTTTATAGCACTTTGATACTAACTGCCATGGCATCATCCTATGGGATTCTGGAATGTGTAATTTAGTGAGAGACTTAAGATTTCTGCCATAAAATTATGTTGCTGTACTGCAGTAAAGTACAGTGACGCACAGGAACACCTCAGCAAGCGAGAGTCCAAAAGTGGCAGGCTAAAACCCAGAACCTCAAGCCACGGCTGACACCAAATGAGAGATTCCCCCCCTGGGCACACAGAAGACTGGGCGACTTGGAAGGCACTGAACAGACTGCACTCTGGCACCACAAGGTGCAGAGCCAACCTTAAGAAATGGGGCCATAATGTGGAGTCCACAACATGCGAGTGTGGAGAAGAGCAAACCACAGACGACCCACTACGATGCAGCCTGAGCCCTGCCACATGCACAATGGAGGGCCTTCTTATAGCAACACCAGAGGCACTCCAAGTGGCCAGCTACTAGTCAAAGGACATGTAGTAGAATAGGAAGATTTTAAACTCTTGTGTGTGTTTTTAAATACATTACAACTGTACCCTCAGTTTGCTTCTGATACGATAAATAAATACTGCTGTAGAGTGGATTGCAAATCCTAATCTTCTATAGGATAGAGTCATGACAATCTGAGTGATATCCGACTCCTGTGATTGTGTAGCCTGGATACACTCCCAATACAGATGAAATATGGGCATTCCCTTTCAATAGACAAACTGAGACAGCTGCCAGTGCCTCATTTTTCCTCGTAGCCTAATACTGGATATAGCTCAGCATCGTTTTTTACTGGTTTTTAAAATAATGTTTATTTAAATATGTTATTCTTTTCAGTAAGATATCCTAAGAGCTCCTGCACTTGCATAAATATTTGGAGAAGAAATGTTGCAGGAGGCTATAGGGAAACAGCTTTGTTTGGGAACCGGGAGGGATGAGTGAACTGCAGAGGATTTAAGTCTTTGCATTAAATGTAAGATTCCTCTGCCTCATTACATTAGATGCCCAATTTTGAAACAATTTCCTATATCCAAAACCAGCATTTGTGATTGTTGCCATTGCACTCGATTGCCTACCATTCCAGTGGCAGCACTGGGAAGTTTTGTGGGCACTAGTTATTTTATTCCCGTTTTTCAGTGTCTTTGTTGCTGATTTGTCTCCTTTTCGGAACTGTCTTTCCCTCCCTTCCCAGCCTGCTCTTCCATTTTGCACTCAGAGGAAACTTAGCTAGTCAAATTCATCCTTTGCCGAAGAAGGGAGTGGTTTGGCTCAGCTAGTTTGGCCTCCTTGACCTCATAACTATCACCTTCCTAACTGGCTAACTATTCCATAATCACGGACTCAGGCTCCAGAGGTTTCACCTTATTAACCATATTTCCCTCCCTTCCTAACCCTTGTAGACTCTAACTCTTTGCTTTCTTCATTCGCTGCAAGATGTATGACCCCTCCTGCCTCACTTTCTCTCTCCCCTCTGCCTCTTTCTCCTAGCCGATTCTTCCGCCAGCCTTAATCTTGAGCGCTCAGCTCTTGCTAGAAAGCGGTTTACATTGCAAGGTCTTTCCAACCGCAGAGCTCCACCCAAAGGTAAAACCATCCTGGCTTGCAGCATTTGGTCACTGGCTCACATGTCTCCTGACTCTGAGTGCTGTCTCCATCCCATAGCAACATCCATCAGCCCTTGGCACGCCTGGTCACCACATCCCATTGTCGTGTTCCATGTCTGATGAACCCATCTCCTTGTCTCCCTCGAACCTCTGTCAAACATATTCCTCTGGCATTGGTTACAATACAAATAAGTTTATTGTAACCAATGTATCTCACATTTACACACTTTCTTAGGAGGGGACGTTTCTCCAAATATGAAGGCGTGTAATAGAAAAATGCTTCTCTGTTATATATCTGGAAGGACTAAAAAAAACCAGAGTGCGTTCTTGGAAAATTACATGCAGGAAGAATGTATATAACAACATGCTGAAGCCATCTATAACTAAGCAGTAGCCAAATGATGCTTTTGAACCCACCCATAACAACAGGAGTGGTATGATATTCTGGGACTCAGAACATCACACTACCACTACTCATTTATGGATGGCTTTAACATGTTCCTATATTTGCTGTTCTTCATGGTAACATCCCAAATTTTGCTTCTAACTTTCTGGATTTCCCCCTGCTTTTAATTTATTGCACCAAATTTACATTTGTGTGATTTATTAGAAGTTTTTTTTTGTCTTCTTTCATAATACTAGAACAATGGTTCCCAACCTTTGGGCCTCTAGGTGTTTTGGACTTCAACTCCCAGAAATCCCACCAGCTTACCAGCTGTTAGGAACTGTGGGAGCTGAAGTCCAAAACACCTGGAGGCCCAAAGGTTGGGAACCACTGTACTAGAACATGGGCATCATCTAATGGAACTTAGTGGTGGGAGATTCAGGGAAGAGAGTCATTTCGCCTGCATCTATGGCAAGCATTGGGTTGTTGTAAGTTTTTTCTGGCTATATGGCCATGTTCTAGAGGCATTTTCTCCTGACGTTTCACCTGCATCTATGGCAAGCATCCACTATCTCTGAGGATGCTTGCCATAGATGCAGGTGAAACGTCAGGAGAAAATGCCTCTAGAACATGGCCATATAGTCCGAAAAAACCGACAACAACCCAGTGATTCCGGCCATGAAAGCCTTCGACAATACATATGGCAAGCATCATCTGAGAATGCTTGCCATAGATGCAGGCGAAACATCAGGAGAGAATGCCTCTAGAACATGGCCATATAGCCCGAAAAAACCTACAACAGCCCAAAGAAAGTACTGCTCCTCATGGCATATACTTTAAAGAATGAAGAACCTCAAGGCAAAACAATGGCCACCAACTTTGGTGGCTTCAAAAGGATACAATCAGATTCATAGAGGATGCAATTACCAGTGGCCATATTATATCCAATTTCAGAGATAGTATCCTTCTCGATGAAGCGCTTGGTCACTGTGGAGACAGAAAACTGACTAGGTAGGTCTTTGGTCTGTTGTAGCATGGCTCTTCTCATGTTTTTAATTTTACATGAAAAGTTGGGGTATCATTCTCCCATTTGATACAAGACAACCAGGGGAAATAGATGTGCTGCAAGGGCTGACAAAGCATCTTGGCACACAGATCACAAGGCCATATTACATATGATGCATCATATCATCATCTGAAGTTTCAAATGATCCTTTACACATTTCCATAATGGAACTGACCCCTTAAAATCTCCAATAAGACGTGTAGTAGTGACGGAGAGAAAACAAGTCAGTACCCATCCATTACATTTTATACAGCAAGTAGAAGCTTGCAGGGTCATGTCTATAAAGAAAGGGGCAGGAGAGGGGGGAAAGGCAGCACTGCAGCCCCATCTGCACCCCCCACTTCTCCATATCCGTTAAAAATGCTCTAGTTTCCTTGCTCCCCTACCTCCACCCTTATCCTCTTTTATGTCACATGTACCACACCTCTTCATGGATGATGCACATTGCAAAAATGTGTACAGGCACTCTCTGTATTTTATTTATTTATTGAATTTATACCACACCTTTTCCCCAAGGTGTTTTCTCTACAAAACAATATGCTGCACTTTGGATGGCAAAAATTGTACTCTTGGAAGTTTACTTGGAAGTTTACTGTCCTACAGATTTAATACAGAACTTGAAAATCCAAAGGCCCAGTAAAGGAAAAAACAACACCAGTTTCCCTCCCCCAACTTTACCATTTTCTGTACAGAATTGTCCTTGCACAAATGTCTTTAATAAATATTGACCCCAATTACTACTTGGTATCTTCCTGTCTCAAGGAGATATTAAATCCTAATGAGCAGACATCTTTTGGCAGACATCTTTTATGGTGAGCTTATTCAAAAGCCCAGACTGGAGGTGGACTGGCACCATGTTCTTGGCCTTAACTGAGATTGTGTCATGTGAATCATAACTCATTTAAAACTGCTAGTAAATATGGATACTCAAAGGCATCTTGCTAAAACATTGACAGTGCTGCATAAAACTTATGATTCCATAGCTTTCTTAATACATCTTCTGCGTACCATTTAGAATCCCAATGTCATAAAGAGTTTCAGAGGATGATGTTCAGTCTATTGTGTAATTAGTTAATCTATGAAAAACTGTACCATAAATGGGCAAATGCTGCAATTTTAGGATTGTTTTCTGCTTTTTCTGTGTATTTAGAAGCCAACAAACACAATGCATTTCTTTCTGGGGCCGACATTACCGGTTTAAATTGCTTCAAAAGCCATTACCCCAGTTCTGGGCACTATAATTCTGTTGACAGAGATGATTCCTAAGGGAAATGCAGACATTTTCAACATCCTATAATTCTGCAACAGGAAATGATGACTATTAAAACCTTATCTAGATTTGTAGCCTAGGATACATGTAAATAAGATTTTGCAGATCCTAGAATAATAACGTATTTGCCCAAACAAGTCTAGTCTTGTTATTGCTAGCATTAAACTCTCTTACTTTCACTTCTTTGCACAAAAGGGATATGGATTCAGTTTTCTGCCTCTATTGGAATTCAAAAGTGAAATATGCGTGTTTCACACATATTGAATCGATTGCTACTTTCTGTGTAGATGTGGATACTAATTTCGCCTGAATAAATTCCTAATATGTTTTAGTATTCGAAAATGAACCGACCTTTTACATTATCAATACTATGATTTTTCTTATATCTGAGTGAACTTGTAGGGCTTCATGTTGTCTTTGGGTGTATGTACACTGCACAGTTGGCTAATTGTTAATACGACTTCAGCGGTGATGACTCCTTACGGGGATTTATAGTTTGGTCTTCTTCTGGAGAGCACTAGAACTATAAATCAAGTAGGTAAACTGGAGCATTCCAGGAGATAACAAGTATCTTACCGGATATCAGACCCCTTCATTCTAGAGCACTGGTTCTCAACGCCCAGAAATCCCAGCCAGTTTACCAGCTGTTAAGATTTCTGTGAGTTGAAAGCCAAAACATCTGGGGACCCACAGGCTGAGAGCCACTGTGCCAGAGAATGGAGCCATTAAAAGTGCTATGAAGCTGCTAGTACAGAAACACTTTGATAGTTACAACATTGGGTTGTTGTAGGTTTTTTCGGGCTATATGGCCATGGTCTAGAGGCATTCTCTCCTGACGTTTTGCCTGCATCTATGACAAGCATCCTCAGAGGTAGCGAGGTCACCTCACTACCTCTGAGGATGCTTGCCATAGATGCAGGCGAAACGTCAGGAGAGAATGTCTCTAGATCATGGCCATATAGCCCGAAAAACCTACGACAACCCAGTGATTCCAGCCATGAAAGCCTTCGGCAATATATAGTTACAGCATTGATTTAGAACTAAAATTCCCAGGAATCTTCATACAACCATGTAACAACAACAAAAAGACATTTTAACAACCATGCTCACTTTTGTGCATCATATACAGTTTCACTCACATGTAATGGGATTGTCACCATGTGTTCTGTTTTTACTGAACAATCTTTTCCCAAAATCCCTAGGTCTTGTTTTCATGAACAGTTAATACTGGTATAAGATCTGGACTTATATGGATTGGTAATCAACAGTTTTATTTAAGGCTGGGATAGGTTAGAAGTAAGAAACAGAGCCAAAGATAATAAGTGGCATCTATAGAAAAATTATGGCCGTTATTCATGGTATAAAGAGATGGGCAGAATTCTAGATCCAAGGGAAGTCATCCATGACCTACTGGTCATCTAATGTGGCATGAAACCTCCAACCTTTTACACAATACACATATAAACAGTCGTGTGGTAGACCAATCATTTATATTGACCTACAGAGTATTGTGTACAATTTTACCAACCTTGAGTAGTTTATCGGCAATTTGAGAAAACAAAAGTGTGGTTACTCAAGAAACCAGCTGACAAGCAGTACATTTGGTAACTTGCCATATGAAATCATCTCATCCTGTATAATTATTAGGCCATTAAAAAGTTTATTGATGGCTGCCACTGTGTTATTCAAGCTGCTAGGCACTCCCTGCTCATGTAAACGAGAACTGATTCACTATCAAACTATTCAAAAGACATGCAGTATTTCTGCTCATGTAAACAGGACTGTTAACACACTATTGTTGTTGTTATTATTTTATTTTAAACAATAACAAGCTGCTTTATAAACCTCCTCCCTACTGCTATTATCCTTCCTTTACCCTATTTGCTTTTCTGTGCTTCTAACCCTTCCTTGAATCCATCTATCTGTCCTCCCAGATCCAGAATCTAGAGAGAGAGATGTTACCCGCCGCTTTTCCCTAGCTTCCTCCATCAGCACCACAACTAACCCATCTGCTTTAACCAAAGGTACAGTCATACTAAAACCTGACCTGTCCATCTATACAGGCATCAGAACAAATGCCATTGGCCTACAAACCTTGCAGGCAAGTCAAAGGGTAGAAAGAATCAAGTGCAAGGTTTCTGGTAATGATGTTATAAACTGTGGAGCCGTACCAGCATGATATTGTTCCCATTCAGGGCATTTATGGAAATTCTGTATATACTCATGAATAGATCAACCTTGTGTATAAGTTGAGGGCATGTTTTAGGACCTATATTATGGATTTTGATATGATCCATTCTATTCAGAGTGACTTATTCATGCCAAGAGAATAGGGAGAACTTCTAACTGTATTTCCCATCTTCTTATTTGCAAACTTCACACAGGTCCCCTTGCTCCTGCAATTAGAGTCAAGAGGCATGAGATAAAAAGTGACCCGACACCTCTGGGTTTTGAAGGTACTCAATGCATGGAGCTGTTCAGTCTTCGACATCCCTCATGGAATGACCATCTTTTCATCCTCACTTGCATCTTACATGTGAGAGATTCCACAAGGCCTTCCAAATCAGTCCATTTCCAGATAACCATTTGTCATTTTATTTTATTTTTTCATTGCCTGTTCCACACATGTCTGATTTAACTGCCAAGTTCCATTCAAGCTCATGTATTACTGGGATGAAGAGAAGAATTTCGTTATCCTCATCCTGTTCTAGGTCCAAACTTTGGTTCCAGTAACAATAGTGAAACCATCAAGTTGGTGCTCACATAAGACAGAACTTCTTCTAGATTGGCATCCTCTTATTTACTACAGGAAATGCACCTGCGTCTCACTCAGGTGCTTCAAAACTGGGTGCTTCAGGTGCTTCTCTACATTTTATGACTTGTAGTTGGTTTTCAATATTCAATTTAAAGCTTCTCCCATGGGAAAATGTGAAAGCTTTGAGAACTGAGATGAAAATTTGATTTTAAAGTAGCCCACTTCAGCTTTTTCTGCCACATTCACAAGTGTCACAACCACAAAAGACAGTCACAGAATAATTTATGAACAAGACTATTGGGAGGTGGGACTTGGCATCATATAACTTCATAACTCCATTCCTTTCTTCCACCCCATTTTCTCTCTCTCGACTACATGTTGCTCATTTCTGTCTCAGGTTTGCTGCTAGCCAATTTTAGGTTGTTCCTGTGCCTTTGATTGCATGTTACTCTGTAAGTGTTGGTCTTCTTTTCCGTCATGAGGGCTATATCCTATACATCCTATCCTAGGCGCATGTCACACTGAGCTCACTTTCCTTCTGGGAAAACATTGATAGAATTGCTTATAAGTATCTCTCTCTCTATAAAAACATATGTACATCCAATTTTAAAATGTAAATAAAAAGGTGTACAGCCTCCGGATGTGCTTGGTTGACCATGAGAAATGTTTTCCCAACCCTGTTTTCTGTTTGCTGGTGTATATGGTGCAAAGAGACGTCTAACTACAGTGAAAAGCCTGCTGTAATCCTTCTTAAATGATTACATCTGTCTTCACCTTTGGCCTGACTGCATGATTCAGATTATTCATCCGTAGTATAAAAGGGCATTCTTATTTATAAGGCAGTGAAGAAATCCTGCCTACTCTCAGCCCTTGCAATAGCTAGAAAAGTCATCCCAAGGGGGTTGCATGCCTGGCATGTCCACTTTAACATGGATCTCAATTGGAATACACAAATCCTGCTTCCTATCCCAGATGCCTTTGACTGCAACCTCTTGGCTCAAGCTAAATGCAGCGCTGTTGTTCCCTCTACGAGACCAGTACCTAGATCCGTTTCACAGACAGGTAAAAATAAAAAGAATTCAAATACTTGTATTTAAGATGTGATGCATGAACTGACCATAAGACGGAGATAGAGGGCAGGATTTTAATATGTCCTGGGTTTTAACATAAAAATTTGCATGTCTGAAAAAGAGGAATGTTGTTGTTTTGGCAAGGAAGGTATGCAAAAAGTGCAAGCGCTGTTCAGAAAACATAGTTTTCTGCATTTGTGTTTTGTAATAGGGGAAATAACCCCTAACATAAACCTAATAATAGACAAGTAAGCACACTGGCAACGAAGATCCGCATAGTTAAAGCAGTCACACCTTCCATAGGGAAGGCTGAGCGAAGGAAGATAGATGCTTTTGAACTGTGGTGCTGGAGGAAAATTCTGAGAGTGCCTTGGACAGCGAGAAGATCCAACCAGTCCATACTTCAGGAAATAAAGCCCGACTGGTCATTGGAGGGAAGGATATTAGAGACAAAGTTGAAGTACTTTGGCCACATCATGAGGAGACAGGAAAGCTTAGAGAAGACAGTTATGCTGGGGAAAGTGTAAGGAAAAAGGAAGAGGGGCTGACCAAGGGCAAGATAGAGGATGGCATCCTTGAAGTGACTGGCTTGATCTTGAAGGATCTGGGGGTGGTGATGGCCGACAGGGAGCTCTGTCATGGGCTGGTCCATGAGGTCACAAAGAGTTGGAAATGACTGAATGAATGAATGAACAACAACAAGCATATGGAAGTAACTTCAAAACTAATGTGGTATAGTGGTTTGAGATTAGGATTTAAATCCCTGGTCAGATATGGAAACCTATTGGGTGACCTTGGGCAAATCACATACCCTCATTCTCAGATGAAGGCAACAACAAACAATTTCTGTACAAATCTTGTCAAGAAAATCCTAGATTTGTCATAAATTGGCATAATAGAATCATAGAATAATAGAATTGGAGGAGACCACATGGGCCATCTAGTCCAACCCTCTGCCATGCAGGAAAAGCACAATCAGAGTATCCCTGACAGATGGCCATCCAGCCTCTGTTTAAAAGTTTCCAAGGAAGGAGCTTTCACCACACTCCAAGGCAGAGTTCTGTTGTTGAACAGCTCATATGGTCAGGAAGTTGTTCCTCATGTTCTCCTTTCCTGTAATTTGAACCCATTGCTCCTAGTCCTAGTTCCAAGGGCAGCAGAAAACAAGTCTGCTCCCTCTTCCTTATGACACCCTTTCATATATTTATACATGGCTATCATGTCTCCTCTTAATTTTCTCTTCTGCAGACTAAATTACTGAGTTCTTTAAGATGCTCCTCATAGGGCATGGTCTCCAGACGTTTGATCATTTAGTTGCCTTCCTCTGGACACCTTCCTGCTTGTCAATATCTCTTTAGAACTGTGGTGCCCAGACTTGTACAGTATTCCAGGTAAAGAGGTCTAACCAAAGCAGAATAGAGAGGCACCATGACTTCCCTTAATCTAGACACTATGCTCCTTTTGATGCAGGCCAAAATCCCATTGGCCTTTTTAGCTGCTGCATCACACTGTTGGCTCATGCTCAACTTTTTGTCCACAAAGACTCCAAGATCTTTCTCACATGGAGTGTTGTCGAGCCAGGCATCAGCCATCCTATATCTTGAAGACACACAGTTGAGAGTCATCCTGGTATACTGATTTGAATGTTGGACTAAGATCAGGGGAGAACTGGGTTTGAATAATCTCTCAGTCATAGAAGCCCACTGGATGATCTTGGGCAAGTCATACACTCTCAGCCTCAGAAGAAGGCAGTGGCAAACCTTTTCCAAAGAAATATTGCCAAGAAATTGCCCATTTCCCCTGCCATTTTAAAGGCTATATCAGCACATGTGCACTTAAATCTTCTTGCTGCCATTTCTGTGTGTAATTTGTAATGAATGCTGTTTTATTAAATTTGTATTTTTGCTTAAATCATTTGTATGTCTAGTCTACACTATCATGAAAGCCATTTCATAAATGGAGGTTTAGAAATATTTTGAATACATAAATGCATTTGTAAGGGAGTATGGAGCAGATACTGTTGTTGCCACATTGAAGACATCAATAATGAATAGTGGTAATGTTTTGTGAACTCTCACCCGAACAAAAGAAGGAAGCATTTTGTATGGCAACCTTAAGGACTAACATGTTTATTGCTACACAGGCCTTTAAGGATCAAAGCATCCAGTTTGTTACATGAATCTGACAAAATGCCTCATTATGTTTTATTTGAACTATAAAACATGTGCTCTAGGTTGCCTACTGTTTCACAACCCACCCACCCCTCCATAGATTTGTGTTTTGGAGGATTCAGGAATTGGAGTTCCCATAAGGGAATTTTCCATGCAGTGATCCTGACCAGATATGGATCACAGCAGCAGAAGAAGGAAGGTTAACTCTTTCCTTCTCACCTGTGTATCTCTCAATGTGTTCCATTGTGCAATGAGGCATCTGGAGTGGTTCTTTCTGCAGTCATAATAAATGATGTTGCACAGTGAAGTCACATGAATTTTTGGATGGTGCATAACAACTGTACCATCAGCATCATCCAAAATGCCCAACTGTGTGGCTGGTATTTTGTTTTTTAGTCCAGTAAACCATTTGGCCAGTTTCAATTCATTCAGTTGTTGATTGTTTGATTTTATCTATCCATCTGAATCAGTGGCTCCTAACCTGTGGTCCGTGAACCACCAGTGGTGCTCAAGAACAAAAATATGGTCCACAGCCTCACTGTTACTAGATTAGTTGTAACAAGAGTAACAGATCTTGTGAAACCCTCTTATAGTGCCAAGGCTTATTAAATACGGTTTTCTGTGGGTGAGGAGAGGGCAACTACTGGATGGCGTATGTTCTGTATCAGAAACTCAAGCTGATTTGGTCTGTCCAATGCAATTTTCTGAGTCAGCACACCAAATAACCAAACCGAATCTCAAGCTGACCAAAAAATGATTCGTAACCCTTTTGGTACTAATGGTTCCTGGTCAAAGTGGTTCCTGGTCAAGTGGTTCCTGGTTTAAAAAAGGTTGGGAACCACTGATCTAAACCAATTGATTCAATTTATGGTTTTGCATGCCAGCAGTTACAGTGGATTCAGAGGCTCTTGTTTACTTTATACTGACAGTAAGATTAAAGCTCACGTGAAAGGATTATATTTGTGGAACTTCACTTGTACAACCATGAATTGAATACATACATCTGTTCTACATCATCCAAAAAAGTACCATCAAATGTGTAAGGGAAGTTTCACAGGAGTACGTCAACAATGGATTCCATATTTCATGTGATATGTGTGATACAATATGTGGCTTTACTGTTGCTGTTGTTAACTTTATTTATATACCAGCTTTTCCATTGTTCCAAATCTGGGACATGATTTGCAGCCCCGATTAATGTCTCCTGTGAGACCCTTATATTGCAGCGAACTGGGCAATGTGTGTTGTAAGTGTATTTGAAGGACTTTGCTGACAGCCAAGTCTTTAGGATCAATGATTTAAATCAATATTTCATAGAAATTTAAAGCTCTATAAACCCTTTCAATAGAATTGTAGAGAGAATGTCTATGTGTACAGTGGGGCCCTTAGTGTCTCCTGGGCTTCAGGATCCCTGTGGATACCAAAATCTGTGAATGCTCAAGTCCTCTTATATACAGTGGCATGGGGGGGGGGGGGGGGGGGGGGGGAGTGTCCCTACATAAAATAGCAAAATCAAGGATACCTTTGGGCATTGTTTTTTTTTTTTTACACTTTCAGGTCTCTGTGTATTGAATCCATGGATGCAAACTCCATGGATATGGATAGCCAACTGTAATTATTTATTTGATTTATTAATTAAACTATTGTTATCCCATCCTTTAGCCAAATATCTCAGAATGGCTTACAATAAAATCGAGCTAATGCCACTCATTCTATTCCTTTTGCAAAGGATGGCCCAGCAGGCAGATGCCTTCACTAGACACTTTTGAGGACTTTGAAGTCATCCCATCCAGTGCGGAGGAGCTTTCTAACTCTTCGGATATGGAGGAGGAAAACCAGCCTAATAATGTATGTAATATCCCTTGAAACTTTACGCTGTTCCCTTTCCTGTTACCATGAACTCACCTCCATCTTATGCACCGGAAAATTGTTGCTTTGCACTTTTCCAGATTACAGGGATGTTTGAAAAATGGTGTCAATGTTGAGTACATAAAAATACCATCATGTTGTAGTTTTATATTTCTAAATCCTTACTATGATTTCATGTTTGACAACCAGTGGTTTCCCTGGTTAACTATTTTAATGGGTATCCTTCACCATGTGAAGGAATCAGCGCTGGTTACAGGTTAAGTATCCCTTATTTGAAATGCTTGGGACCAGAGTTTTGGATTTTTTTCTCCAACTTTGGAGTACCTGTATGTGGAGATATATGCACATAATGGTTAAACACAAATTTCATATAGGTTTATTCTTTGGCAGAGAAACCTTGTAAAACTACACCTCCCAGGATCCCACGGCATTGATTTATGGCAGTTAATGTGGTGTAGGTGCACCCCTGGTCCCATTTAGAGCAGATGTGTCGAATCAGTTATTGATATAAGTCCCATTGATTCAATGGGCCTTCTTTAATTGGCACTAGCAATTGAGCATTAAAAGTATATGGAAATATATGGCAATATTTTTTTAATTTGAAAAGGCTACAGATGTGCTTTTATAAAACAGTTGAGGTATTTATGATATTCAACCCTTGCACTGTTTCTAAATCTAGTTCCCTTTCTGAGATTAATCCATTGGTTTTCCAGATGCATTTATGATTTTGAATGCAGGAATGCATTGCTTAGAATATCCTCTCCTCCCACCTGCCGCCCATAGCTCTCCACTCCATAGAAACTTCATGTGCCTCATTGTTTTGTTTATTTTAGGGGTCCAATCTCTACCAGGTAGAAGGCCATTATGACACCTGTTTCTCAGAATCCCTTATGCTAGAAGATGGGGATTTAGTGCAGTTGATACAGGAAGGAGAAGATGGACAATGGTAAGTATAAAAAAAACCAGTGAGAAAAACACAATCACAGGTGGGTTGTTGTAGGTTTTTTGGGCTATATGGCCATGGTCTAGAGGCATTCTCTCCTGATGTTTCACCTTCATCTATGGCAAGCATCCTCAGAGGTAGTGAGGTCTGTTGGAACTAGGAAAAAGGGTTTATATATCTGTGGAATGACCAGGGTGAGACAAAGGACTCTTGAAACACAGGTGCATACACACAAGACTGTCTGCCTTCAAGTCATCTGTTAACTTATGGCAATCATGTGAAGTCTGCAGGGTGTTCTTAGACAAGAGTTTTTGCCAGCTCCTTCCTCTGAAATATAGCCTACAGCACTCAGTATTCATTGGTGGTCTCCCATCTAGTCCTGACCCTGCTTAGCTTTCAAGATCAGAAGGAATTTGGTGCCTTTAGAGTAAGGCTTCTCATTTTAAGTATTGGTTGAGTATTGAGTGAAATACTGGCAGCGGACAGACAGAAAAGAAGAGGGAAAATGAGGGTGGGTAAGGGAATCAACCATTCTAGTAGGCTTCAAGTTAGTGCAAAAAAAAAAATGAAAGATGACTTTGCCCCAAAATTCAAAAAGGTTTATACTTTCCCCTGTGGGGGAGGGCAAAATGTGGCCTGATTTTTGAAACCCAGCTTTAGATTTGGTTTGGGGTTCTGATTCAGAAAATTGCACTGGATAGACCACATCAGGTTTAGTTTCTGATATGGAATATATGCCATGATCAGCAACAAGGAAGGAGTGGCAAGTGGTGCGAAATGAGAAGAAATAAAATAAATAAAATAAATAAAATAAAGAGGAAGAAGGCTCGCGGACCAGATTTTCATCCTCAGGGTCCACTGGTTGTCTGTCACCCATAGGTTAAGAACCACTGCTTAAAACATAATACCCTCCCCTCTACTATAAGGCTTAGAAATGTTAATTTTTAGACTAGAGAATGGAAGCTGGAATCTTTTAAACATGAGGTTCTCAATTTCAGGTCTGGCCCCTTCTATTTGAAGGGCAAGGGGATTACCAGGCTGTTGGTCAAAGGAGATGTTAAGAGAAATGCAGATATCCTGAAATAAACTAATTTTCCTGAGCTATGGACCTCAGCAATTAGATTTGCAAATTAGGCTGCACTTATTTGCCAGTGAGCAATTACAAATTCAATATACATAGGTGAGGAACATCAAGTGCTATGACAAATAGAAATCCTTCACCATTTGAGGAAACACTTTTTCACAGAAATGTGCTACACACATATTTCTACTCTGCATTCATCTCTTGGGGCAAAACAATGAATGCAAAACAACTGGGAGGACAGAGCTTGTCCCTTTCTTCTAGTGATTTCCTCATAGTCCTATACATTGCCATCACATATTCTGCAGGCAGGTAGCTTTCACAAGAGAGATGCAAATAATTGTTGAGCATCAGATATGTAATTATCCACAGTTGGCTTAATCTTGTGTCATGTTTCCCATTCAAAAGCACAGGTGTTTTCTAAGAACTATGATGCAAATCCAAATCATTGTTCTGGATCATGTTTCTTGCTCAGATGCATCCCCAGTCATACCATTGCTCTGCTGCTTTGCTTCGGCTTTCATATCCCATTACTGTCCCCTTCCCCCATCCTCCAAGGATCAAGCAGTTCTCCCAGATATGCTACTTATTATGTCCCGGATGTTCCCTTAATTGAGAAAATGACTGAAGATGTGCTTGCTTTATAATAATATAATAAAACTTTGTATTGCTGAAGGCTTTCATGGCCGGAATCACTGGTGGACCACTCTAACAAATACCATGTCAGACTACACAGAGAAGCCATTGAAATCCACAAGCATGTGGACAATTTCAACAGAAAGGAGGAAACCATGGAAATAAAAAAAACTGGCTACCAGTATTTAAAAAGCTCTAAAATCATAACAGTAAATAAAGAACAACTTTCAAAAACAGGGGAACTCCAGACAAGAAACAATCAGGGACAGCTAATCACCTCTCAACAAAGGTTTCCCCCAGGCAGTAAGAAGCCAGACTTTGAAAACTGCTACACCATTAAATGCTTATCAAGGTGGCCAATTGAAACATTCACACCTACCTCCAACAGACAAGAGTTCTTTCTCCCACCCTGGACAACCCCATTTTCCTAGTTTCCAACAGAAACTATGGCAAGCATCCTCACAACCTCTTAGGATGCCTGCCATAGATGCAGGTGAAATGTCAGGAGAGAATGCTTCTGAAACATGGCCATACACCCCGGAAAACTCACAATAACCCAGTGATTCTGGCCATAAAAGCCTTTGACAATACAAAAATCTGTTAAATTCCACAATGATTACACAAGCAACTAATTGAACCTTGCAACCGTCTTGCTAAAGCAACCTCTGAGGATGCCTGCCATAGATGCAGGTGAAACGTCAGGAGAGAATGATTCTGGAACATGGCCATACAGCTCAAAAAACTTACAGCAACATAATGAAACTTTATTTGTGTCTTGCCACCATCTACCTGAAGGGACTCAAAGCACTCAAGGAGCCACACATAAAACAGAATTACATATCATGAAAACAATACACAATTTGACTGAACACAATGTCTTCCTGCAGGACCCTTACCTCTCCACACAGCAACCCAGCTCTCCTTACTCTCCTCCTCTCTCGGCACCAGTCTTTCCAACTTTTACTTATTCATATAAGCACATTTGCATCAAAGAAGGTTAGAATAATAATTTAATTAATTACCTTAAACTACACTTTTATGTACATATTCAAAAGCATTTAACCTACTGATGCCTCAATTATTGTAATTTTATTGGTACCTATTTTTCTTTTGAAATTTACCAGTAGCTGCTGCATTTCCCATCCTTGGCTTATACTGGAGTTAATAAGTTTTTCCAGTTTTTTTGTGGTAAAATTAGGAACTTTAGCTTATATTCGTGTCGATTTATACTCAAGTATATACAGTAGATTCACTCTAAGACTGAAATGACTTGCAAGCACACAGCAGTCTTAATAAACTTGACTATCTCATCAGCCAAAAGCAGGCTCACATTTCCATTGAAATGCTGGTAAGTTCATGTTGGTTAAAATTGTTCTTCATTTTAAATATTGCATTGTTCTTTCATGATTTTTTTTTTTGCACCACAAATAATATACGTGGAGTGTGCATAGGGATTCGTTAATGTTTTTTTTCAAACTATGGTTATTCCAGTGCCTTCAGGGATTGAATGTTAGATACTCCCTGATGAAACTTTGCATAAAATGACCTCAGAAGCACTTTTTTAATGATTTGTGCAATTAATTCCTCCTCATCCCTGGATCCGCCTCCCGATAATTTATATTGTCCTATCTCCCAATGTTTTAAAATTTTATCATTGAATTTGGCCCTGCCCAGCCTAATCCTCTTAGTTTTAATGTTTGATTTGTTTTTGCTGTCCATTTATTATATTTGTTTTGTATTTTATGTATTTTATTTTCTGGTTTTGTTATGCTTTTGTGTTATATTGTGTTTACTGTACTGTTGGGCATGGCCTCATGTAAACTGCACTGATTCCCCCTGGGGGAGATGGAGCGGGGTGTAAATAAATAAATAATTATTATTATTATTATAGTCTGGGCCCCCCAACCATCTGAGGGTCTGTGAACCAGCCCTTTGCTTAAAAAGATTGAGCACCCCTCTTATAGATTATGAGATAATGTGGGGAGATATTACAGTAGTGTGAAATGTTATATTGATGTATTATACTGTTAACCATTATAGATGTTTCAAAAGTTTGTGTAAAGTTTGTGTAAAGAAATGAGATATAGTATGACACTCGTATTTATACAAGAGATACATTCATGAAGTTACCATAAAAATAGGAACCATGGATAAACTCTACTGAAAGGAATACTTCTGATGGAAGTTACAATAGAATTGTGCTGGAGGCCTAGAAAATTCATAGATGGGTATAGTCTCTGGGACTTTGCCAGCTCAACTGTATGGTAACTGCAGGTGAAAGCATACCATAAAATCACCTGGAGGACCTAAACAATTCATAGAGATGACATATTTGTTAGATACGGTGAAGCCATGGATACCACTCCCATGGATACAGGAGTCATGCTGTACAACACATTCATAAAACGTGTTAAGTCTTGCAGGAAGCCACATGTATTTTGCAAACTTGTCTGTGATAGAACCCTGCATTTTACTTTACTTCTTTTGAACATTCAGGTTAGTGAAGAAGCTGGTTTCTGAGAAAACAGACTGGGTTCCTTCCAGCCTTCTTCAGCCAGCAGAAGGGGACGCCATATACATCTTCAGGATCAGCAATGCAGGTAGCAGTGAGTCTGAAAAGTGTTTTGCTTCCCATTTTAGAACAAGATCATTGGAGCTGGAAGAGACCCCAGGGACCATTCAGTCCAACCCCAGGTCATTCAGGAACACACAATCAAAGCACTCCCAACAAATGGCCATCCAGCCTCTGTTTAAAAAACATCCAGAGAAGGAGACTCCGCTACACAAACAGCTCTTACTGTCAGGAAGTTCCTCCTAATGTTCAGCTGGAATCCCTTTTCCTGAACCTTCAATCAGTTGCGTGGAGTCCTAGTCTTAGAACCACAGACAATAAGCTTGCTCCATCTCCAATATGACATCTTTTCAGATGTTAAAACATGGCTGTTATGTCCCCTCATAGGCTTCTTTTCTCCAGCTCCCTAAGCTGCTCCTCGTAGGGCTTGGCTTCCAGATCTTTGATTGTTTAAGTTGCTCTTCTCTCACTACCTTCCAGCATGTCAATATCTCTCTTAGATTGTGGTGCCCAGGACTGGACAGTTTCCCAGATTAGTTCTGACCAAAGCAGAATAGAGTGGGACTGTGATTTCCTTCTATCTAGGCCAGTGGTTATCAACCTGTGGATCCCTAGATGTTTTGGCCTTCAACTCCCAGAAATCCTAACAGCTGTTAAACTGGCTGGGAATTCTGGGAGTTGTAGGCCAAAATGCCTAGGGACCAGCAGGTTTAGAACCACT